AGTATAATATTATATTATAAAATATAGTATTTAAAGCATTATCTTAAAAACTTCCTTTTTTGTTTATAATAGTATTCAAATATTATTCAAATTATCCACTTAAACACCTTCCCTTTAACAAAAACAAAAAACCACTCTGACTAATTTTAATGCAGGGTACCTCTCATTCGTTTAACCCAAAATAGTCACTGGCCATATTTCATTGTTGGTTGACTTTTTGATTAATCTTTAGATACTATTTGCTGGCTTTTGGGCACGTGCCCCAGTGAACAGCACAGCACTCGGTATAAGCCCTTGCCATTTTAGGCCTATGAGGTAAAATGTTTGTCATGGCTACGTTTTATCTTTCGTGCCTCTCGAGCCAAGCCAAATGCATAATTAAAAAATCATACACTCATATGTATATAGAGATATTGTATCTCAGTATCTGAACTGAGCCACCACGATTCGGACTTGCACTTGGCCTTGCCGATTCGAACGCTCCGTTTTGTGCGGCTCTCGCCTTGAACCTCAATGTGCCGAATTGTGTGTTGTGGGGGCAGCGATACAGAGATGGCAAAGTTTGGGTTTGAGTTGAGCCAGCAGTATGTGCTTTTGGCTGGGTTTTTCGTAAATGTTTTGTTGAACTTGCCGCAAACAATAACAAAAACCAGCAGCAGCACACGGCGGCGGTAGAATGCCAAGAAAACAACGTAGTGCCCAAAAATACAAAAAAAAACTACGCGGTCGCAGACCCACCGAAAACCAAACGTGACTTAAGGTTAAGCAGCATATGTGTTCTGGTATTGGTCTGGTTCTGTGTGTATGTGTGTGTGTGGAAGTGCAGGTGTATGGGTGCGAGCTCACATTGACTTCATTGGCACGAAGCATCTGCTGGGGGATTTTATTCGTTTAGTGCTTCTTATGCTTCATACATATTTTAATATCAGGCACATAACTTTTAGAACTAGTTTTTGGCCCGAACCCCATTCGACCTCCAACCCTTTTTTTCCCCCAAGGCTGCTCCCCCCCACCCTGACAAATATTTCAACAATTGTCTATGGCATCGAGTGGATTTCTTTTGATTTTCCAAAGGTTGCCTCTGTTGTTTGTTGGTTTGTTCTGTTTGGGCTGTTGTGTTTATCAAGTATACGCCGTGGTGGCCGCTTATCAGCCGAACGTTAAGATCACGGAATGCCGGTTCTCAGGCTTAGCCAGAACACTTTGACAGTCGATCGGCCCGATTGCCACTTTGGCCAAGTTTTATGGCTGCGGATTTTGAAGGTGATAGTTTTAAGCGATCCATAAATCAACCTGATGCATGGGGCCTGGAAGTGGATCTGGAATGAGGAAGTGTCACATTCCCAGAAATAGAGTTTTGGTATTATGCCTTAACTTTATGGCCGGGAGCATAGCTTAGAAATGTGTGACAAGGTTGAGGCAGGAGATAAGTAAAGGATAGTCAGGAAAATGGGAAAAACAACTGATATAGTTTAGCTTCCTGTTTACAATTCTTTGCAGGTATTTAGTTATTTATTTATTTTAAAGGGATTATATATTCTTCTTGTACATTCTTTAGAATAGAGTTAGGGTTAGCAAGGAAATTAAGTAATAGTTTTGGTTCTTCTGGGACTCCAAAAATAGACACAATTCTTTATTAACCCACATGGCGTATACTTAATATTAGTAAACGCTTCAATGGATATTGTTTTTTTAGTGTTCAGCGGTTAGTTAGAACATAAATGATTAAAATAGTTTAAATCTGTAAATCGTAATTTAAATTAAGATTTTTTTAAATATTTAATAAAGGTATAGAGGTATAGAGGTGGTATGATATTAAAAATATAGGCTGCAAACTTATGTTTAATTTAATAATTTTTTAAATATATATAATTTGGACCTTATTTATTATTGAAATGGATATGGCATGCCCTATGATCCTTTTCATAGGATCTTCAATAAGGACATTTAATTCAAAATTCTTAATTAAATATTTAAAAACGGATGTTAGAAACAAAAGACCCTCCCTAGAAGCACCCAAAAAAGAACAATATATACAACAACTACAATATTATGAAAAGTGAGTACTCGCGTTGAACGAATAGTATCAAATACATGTGCATATGTGCGAGCATAGACAATACTTAGTATATATTTTGAATGGTGCGCTTTGTATTGGCCTCCGAATGTGTCTAGAGCTTCAATAGCAGGCCAGGGTCATGCGACATGGGAGGAAAAACTGAACTGACGCGAAACTGAGCGAACTCGGGCGATTTGATGGTTGTGTTTGTATGTATGTGTTTGTGAATTGTATCTGTGTGTCTATTGATATTTGAGGTAGTTGATGGTGTGCGAGTACTGTGTACGTAGTGCCCGTTATCGGAAGAAAACGCCAAAAGCTCGCGTTCATTGCCTTTGCAAACGTTTTTGACTCTGATTCTCTCTCGCTCATTTTATCGCTATTACCCGTCTCTTTCTCTTGGTGTCCCACCCTCTCTTTCAGTTGAAGTGTTAGAATAGTGATATTTTATTTAGTTGATATTTTCACTACCAAAAACCATATCAAAAATGGTTATCTGATGGGAAGCATTCCAGAAAAAAAGCGTTGTCGAAGGAGAATCCCTACACAGAGCAAAATTATTAAGTCTTTTGTTTATTTATTTTTAATTTGAAACTGTCAAATTCATTAAAGTTTCTAGCTATTTTATGGTTTAGTTAAAATTATAGTTATTTTTTAAAAGTCTTTATAATCTTTTTTTCTGTGTATTTTTAGAAGAGAGCTCTACTTTCTTATCGACAAGGGGCTCAGGGCTATCGGGTTTGTTCCTCTTGCCTTTTTTTTTGTGAACTTTGCCAGCTTGTTTTGGTTTTATTTTTGGGGAAATGGGAATATGGGCCTGTTTGGTGAGGTTGGTCAGGAATTCTATAGCTCTCTGTTTGTGGACGAAATGTGGCCTACGGCAGAGGGCCAGGCCAAAAAGCCAGCAGGGCTCTTGGGTCAAGCGGCGTTATTTATGACCCTCTGGGAAGGCCGATCATTCCGGCTTTGACTTGCAAATTTTTATCAACTTTTATTGTAGTCATTTTTCAGTTTGATTTGTGGCTAGGCTAACCAATGTGGCCAAAATGAAACTGATTGACATGTTGCGGCTATGAAAACATCCAACGGAATAGAAAAAAAATATAAAATTTCGATTCAAGCAAATATTATGAATTGCTGATGTTGGCAGACCCATTGATCGTGTCTTTACTTTGTATCGAATTCTGTTAATTGGCTGAAACCAAAACTGAACTCTTAACTGGGCCAGCGCATGGGCTGTGAAATTCTAGAAGCGCAACACCAAAATTCTTGCTAAATGGAAATTCAGCGGGTTTATAAATATTTTTTCATAAATTTGGGGATTAGTCATAAATCAATTGGAAAGCATAAACCAAAAATAGATACTAATTTATATTAATTTATGCAATTTCTATTTATAATTTAATCAATAATCGAATCTATAAATTCGCGCATTTTCTTTAAAAACTTGTCAAATACTCGAAATGTTAAACAAAGAAAAGCTTTTAGTAGAATATCTATATTATATTTTACGGCATTCATTTACACAACTAATTTATAAATTTATCTATTTTAAAACTAAAAAAAAACAAACACATTAGTATTTTCCAGAAGACCATCTAAACGAAATACTTTGCCTACGTAAGCTCTTCTATCCTGATCTTAGACATCTACGAATTTCCAATATTTTCCTGAACTTTCAAGTACTTGCACATACATGTATGTAGAGACATACATATATGCGTATATATGCAATCTATGTGCACCGATGACGAAATGAAAAAAGCTTTTTCGCGTTATTTGCTTCCTGCATTCGAGGCGAATGCAACTCCGCCGCCATCGCCAAAGCAACACTGCGTATGAGTGATCTGCTGACCAAAAAAAAATGAAACAGTTCTACTTTACGGAACTTACCATCTTAAACAGAAGTAATCCAATTGGAGATATATCCATTATGTTTCAGCAGCAGTAGAAAAAAAACTTTTTACTGTTTTAAGTTTTTTTTTTTAATATTAAAAATTTTATTTTTCACAAAGCGTAGACAGCAAAAAGGGCTGTCTGTTTAAAAAGTTTGTTTTGTAAATATTTTTTTCAAGATAAACTTTGAGGCACTTTGGGGGCGTGGTCAAGGGTCGGGCGGGTGGAAACTACCCTTTCTTTATGGAAATCTTAATTACTTAATTGACATTTTGCACATAATTTTGAGGCCACTTCGACTCCGAGATTTGAGCCTCGGATCAGAACTTTTTGTAACGCATTTTTTTATGGTTTAAAAACGTTTAAGCAACGATCGAGGATTGCACTTTTGGTGGTGGGGGGGGGTTCGAACTATTCGCCGCAGCAAATTGTTTAATTAGCGATGCGGCGGCGACAAAACGCGACGACGACCGCGACGACGGTGGGCGGGACAGGGCGGTACGACGCTGCAGTTACAGTTACGTTAGAAAAATTGATTTTTTGTTGTTGCTTTTTGTTTTGAATTTTTTTTTTTTTTTTGTATTATTGTGTTTGAAAAGCGAAGGTTTTCCGCTTCGAGTTTCTTTTTGGTTTTTGTATTTTCAGCGGGAATTTGCGACTGTCCGTTACAACAGTCAAAAGATATCTAAACAGCGAACGCTTTATTTTTGCACACAGGCAGCGCACTGCACTGAGTCTCGCTCACCCACACCACACCATATCGCACACAGATACTATTCGCGGCGGCAGAGAAACACGCGCCGCGCTCAAGTTCATACTCTGAACTTCAAAGCTCAAAGTTACCTTCATGCACTGACAGTGAGAGAGCAAGAGCGAACCCCAAAAGCAAAGAGAGAATGTGTGTGGGGCTAAGAGAGATTCAAATGCTCCTATACCGCATGCAGCAGTGGAAGAGAGCCTCAAGGGGATAATGTTGACAGGAATTTCGGGAGAATTAAATTTAATTCAAAATTTTTACTATTTCTAATTAATAAAAATAAAATAATTAACCATAACTTCACTTCACTATAAATTTTAGCGAGTTCTTTATTGAACAAAACAAATGCTTACAAAAGTGATACTTGATAGGCTATCTTTCATGGATCCATTACACATAAAATATACAAAGCGTGCCCGAAGTTCAACAAAAAAGCCGAAAGGAAACCTGAGAGCTGGAACCTCCTTGCCTATGTGGTCTTCAATGAAGTGGGAATCTTGGGCAAACCAAATTCGTCTGTTTCAATGGTGCTCTGCAAAGAAAAACAAAAGAGTTTAATCTTATGGACACACAAAAAAATGAGAGTAATTATACATTTACCTTGCCAGGTATAATGCTATCGGCACCCGGTTCCTTATCTGGTGCATTTGGAGCCTTGACAACGTCATCCAAATAACTGGAGTCATCGTCCAAGGCGATCTCATCGCCCAGGGCATCCAACTCTGCCTGCAGGTCGTCGTCATCCACCTCCGGCATGCCGTAAGTGCGTCCAAGGACCTCTTGAACCTCGTCAGCTTGTTCGAGCATATCGGCCATGTCATCATGAATATCCTTAAGAATAAAAATTAAACGTTTTATTTGTAGAAATAATATAAACCTCGATCTGACTCACCTCGATCTGGTCAATGTTGATCTTTTTGTATTCGCTCTTCATTTGCTTGACGCCATCCTTCATAGCCGCAACGGTGGCCTGAGTATCCTTAAGGGATTGCGCCGCATAGTTTGCCTGTTCCATGTTGAAGGATTGATTGCGCAGAGATTCCGCCTGCTGTTCGTAGCTGTGTGGTACACATAGAACATTATTGATAGGGAGGGGGTGCGCCAAGAGGTCTTTGACTTACGCTTTCTTTTGTTTCAAAACCCTAAGGGCCTTTTGTTTCACTGAGTTTTTGGCCGGACCTTCACGCATTTTGGACATTTGCTCGCGATATTTGCGCAGCTCTGTCTCGAGCTTAGCAATCTTTTCCTCGATATTGGTGGCTCGGGCGTCAACCTAATTGGAAGTTGTAAATTGAGTTCAGATTTGTTTTTCCATTGAATTTTCGCTGCTTACCCCAGCTATGCAATCGTTGATGCTTGGGCCAGGCTCCTTGGGCTTTCCGCGACCGAAAAGGCGATTCATTTTTGGATAGTTTGCTGGTAAAAACAAGGAAATTGGAAAAAAGACCAGCCTTTTTCGTAAATTTCGTTTTAATATTTTGTTTGATGACTAATTTTCTTCTTCTTTTCCACTACAGAAATCAGCTGTTGAGCTTCGTTTACCAACACTGATGTAAAACTAAAGTATTTTTTTGGTATTTTTAAATTTGGTATTTAATAAATGCGTTGCCTTGGTCTCACCAAAACCTGCAAAATCTTATTTAAGCAGCTGAGCGAATGAAAAAAAAAGTCTTATAATATTTTACGAACCGGGTGCATGGAATTATACGTGTTTCGAGAGTACAGCGATAATGTGACCGAAATGGAAAGCTTTTGTATTAGCCACTAAAAAATAAATAAATCAAAAAACAAAGTTGATTAATCTGAGAATGCATAACAGAATTGGCTTAAACGCGATTTCGCGAGTGCCTTAAACTATTTTAAAAATACCCCGAAAACGAAGCTCTGCGAGGGAGCTTAAAAGTCTATTAATTAATTGTTTACTAATTAAGCAATATGCGATTAGTTAAAAGTGCCGCGGATGTATGTTAAATAAATGAAATGCACGCAAAGCGAGGGCGTTGTGGTTTTTTCCTTTTGAGCACAAAAAGCCATTGCTAAAAATACCCAACAAAATAAACGAAAATACAAAAACAATTTGGCAAAGCAATGCCAACAAAACTGCGTAAATAAGGAAAACATAGATACAGTAAATAAAGCGAAATAAATTAGCAAAAACTCGAATTTGCGAAAAGCCAATAATCCAACAGCTGGCCCTTTGACGTCACAGCCGCTCAGCTGATTCGTGACGTGCGCGCCATGACGTACAAAGCCGCCCACTAATAGAAGCATCCACCACCCACACCCCCACACAACCCGTAATCCTCGATGGATAGCTCTATGTTTTATGCCAAGGATCAAATGGCTTCGAGCACGGAGGCCAATGTCGTGGCCCATACCTTGGCATCGGTTAATGCCAGTGGTGGTGTTACTTCCACGATTTCGCCACGCGTCGAAGATGGCGGCGTCTCCATGAACAATTTCTACCCTGCGCTGGTACAGTGCTTTGGTATCATCATTTGTGGGTTAGTTGATATCATATATTCCACTTTATTCCATTAAGTTTGCCCACGCATCCTCCTGGTTGGGAGATAAGATTACCAAATCGATATTCCCCTATTTGCTGTTGGCCTTCACCCTTTAAAGCCCCTCTTTTTATAGGAGTTTGTTTGGATTTGGGTACAGGGAAACACCCCTAAAGGCTATTTGTGGTTATTTTTAGGGGGTGATCTTGAAAAAAGTTGCTTAAATTCGCAAAAAAGGCAAAGAACTCGTAAGGAAGTTAAGACATAAATGGGTAAACCTTTTTAAGAATATAGTACTTTCTAATATGTACAAGGCCATTAACATATATAGACCAAAACATTGCAAAAATAAACAAATCAGATACTAACATATGTATCTTCCTCTTTTCCCTTGACCTCGTGACCTCAAAGTATCTAACAAGGTCTTTTCAAAATAGCAAAGGTCATTGATCGAACAAAGATTGTTTTCTCAAAGAAAACAATAATAAAGACTGACAATTTAGTATCAAAATTCAATAAAATTAATAATATTTGCCTAGAATATTTACAAAAATATAGAATTCTGATAATATTTGATTATGAGACTTTTGAATTAGCACATCCCGCCCCATCGGTTCAAACTCTGCTGTTGCTCACCCACCTTTATCTTAGGCTCTATTATTATCACTTAGTGGGTACGTGCTGCTTGGGAAAGTGGTCTGTGCCGTACAGTGACCACCACTTGTGCCGGTCATTGTCTGGATTTTAATTTCTTTGATTTGATTTCCCCCACTTATCGAGTGCCACTTGTATTTTATAATAAAAACAGAAACTGTTGTCTCATCTGTGGCTGTGCGTACGCTCTTTAATTGATTTGTTTGCTAGTCCAAACAATATTTACAATTATCTTTAATCGGTTGAATTAGTTAGGTAATATTTATAGAACGGGACTTGAATGGGGTTTGGGATGATTGGACAAAATAATTGAAATTTATAAGAAAGCTTAATGGTTTTTGCTGGTAATCTTAAGCTTTAAAATCTCAAGAACTTTAATATAATTGTAATTCTTAAAGCACTTAATTTTATGCTTAACTTTTATTGGTTTTTTTAAAAGCCTTTTGAAAACTTTCCAATTAGTCATGAAACTGAAGATCCGATAATGATCCGATCACCAGCCACCTGCAAAAATACTCTGTTTCGGCTATGCAAAAAAAAAGGGAATTTCTTTACTTCCGTTAGTTGAATAATCACCCAGTGTTGGCCGAGACTATTATTAAAAATTATAATTAAAAGCACTTTCATAAATCTGAACCAATTCCCAGTGCTGGCAGCAATTTTCCCAGGAAATTGCCGTAAAGCTTCCATTAAATTTGATAACAATTTAGTGGAAAAGTCGAAATACAAAAAAAATTGCTTAATAACAATAGAGCGGTGTTTATTAAGGGAGCGGCGGCATATCCATACATATGCAAATCTTTCAATCTTGATGTATGCATCTGAGCCGAAACCTAATTGCCGTTGCCAGTGAGCAAATAATCGAAAGTAAAACGTTTAGAGAGTGTGAATAAAAAAAATCATAAAAAAAAAAAAACACTGGGAGAATAAGCGAGACAATTACTGAAATGACCTTGCTAAAACTGTGTTTAGCATTAAGCTTGTAAACAATATCGACCAGCTACACCTGAGGCAATATTGCAACAGTACTTGTATGGATTATGTAACCGCAATTACCGATTTGTCTACCGACCACTGCCAATTACAGACGATATATGCATGCCCAGACCAAGAGCTACACTTGCTAGGTGTATGTTTTTGTAAAGATCCACCTTCGCCAACTGTTCAATCAAACTAAATTACAGATCCCAACGATTCGAACTCGGAATAATACAAAGCCGGGTGTACTTTTATAAATTACTTAACAATTTTCTCGCGCCGGACGTTGGCATTTGACATTTAGAACTTTGTGCCGGAAACTAAAGATACCCTGTATTTTCAACTTGATTTATTTTATTTTAATCGAATTTTTTTTATTATAATATAAAATATATTTAAATAATAAATTAAAAACACCTTTTGTTACAAATGAATCCCCTAAACCAATTAAACACCTTTGCTAATTAAGAGGTAACACAAAGATGCATATCACATTTAATTTTAAGGGGGTCTTGAAAGGCAATTAAATTTTATTTTACGACTGCTATCAGATTCAAATTATATTTAATCACTTTGTTGTATTATTCGATCAACCTGCTATAAGTATGTAGATCTTAAGGTGCTGGCTTGTGCGGCCTGATAAGGCTTACAAGCTGGGACCGCAGCTGGTTCTGCCGGCTTATAGAAATAATAAATGCATTTGTCTCATGTCCGAACACACAAAAAGGTAAACAGACTTAATCTAGACACTCACAGCTGTTTTCTTTGTTGGATTCTGGACAAGTGAGTTGCCTAACAAGTCGAGTTACAGAATTTCATGAATTTCAGTTCCGATTGGGGCACGTGGTGTGATTATTACTAGGCCCCACTAGGTCTACCATTTATGATTTATGTTTTTTTATTCAAAAACCATTTTAGCTTTGTTCCTCTTGACTAACTTTGTAGAACACTTGTTTTGCTCCACCTGATAAATGAGTAAATAGGAAAATATTGTAGAACTTTTTGTTTTGTTTACCTTTGCTGTTTTATAAGATGGTATGACGTTGAAAAAAAAAACACCTGCCAGACTAAAGTCTTGGGTTTTAAGTCTGTGATCTGAGAGGTACTATATCTTTGTCTCAAAAGTTTAAGATTTATTTCATTTTTCTAAATAAACTACTGACTATCTACAATCTTACGTACAAGCAAATATTTATTGATAATTTTCACAAGCCCCTCACATTCCACACTGAAAGCTTTCCCACACCATCTTCTGACTCACCAAGTTCCTACACCCAAGAACTGTCTTCAGGTGATAAGTGATGATGCTTCAGGTACTTCCCTACAATAAAATCCAAAACATCTTACACAAATCAAGTGCATCTGGATTGAGTCACCGCAGCCCAAGAGAGAGGTCACCAAACTAGTCCGACTCCAGACTGGAATCTGGGAGGGGAAGTACTCCCTACTCCAGTTTATCAGACAACCCGACAGACACAAGTTTAATTAATATGTCTCGGCGACTGTGACTGAAATACAAATACTCGTTGAAAAATAAAAAACGTTTACAAATCTTTGTTAGCCAAGAGCCGAAACCGAAATAAAACTGGTTTACGAGGGGGATCACGTGTGGATCTGGTGTTTATTTATTTAATTTATTTTTTTCTGTTTTTTTGTTGCCGAGTACATGCAAGTACATTAAATCGAGAGTTTCCGTGTTTCCGGCGAAATAATTTGCATTGAAAAACCATTTAAGGCCCCTTCGGAATTGGGGGTGTGCCCGGCCACGCCTTTACAAGCCAATCACTTGAAATAAATGCTCTAATTTCGAAAAAATCCCTGTCACAGATACATCGCCGGACGCTTTAAGATCATCAGCAATGCGGAAACCAAGGGACTGGGCACTTTCGTGGGCACCTTCGCCCTGCCCTCGCTGATCTTCCTGTCGCTGGTGGAGCTCAACTGGAGTGCTGTGAACTGGAGCTTCCTGCTGGCCATGTTGGTGTCCAAGGCGGTGGTCTTCTTCGCCGTTCTGATCATCTCCTTGCTGGTGGCTAGGCCTCTGAACTATGCTCGTGGCGGTCTGATGGCCATTTTTTGCACTCAGAGTAATGACTTTGCCATTGGTTATCCTATAGGTGGGTATATTTTAAAATTTATAAAATATATTAATATTTTAAATATAACTTAACTCTTTAAGCATATAGCTTTAAGCCTTTCACACCTGAGAAGCTCTTCCTATAATAATTTCTCTGATATATTCACAGTCATGGCTCTGTACAAAGATATTCATCCGGAATATGCATCATACCTCTACCTAATGGCCCCCATATCGCTTGCAATTTTAAATCCCATAGGTTTAGTCCTCATGGAAATCTCAAAGATTGTTAAGAACAAAGAAGAAGTGGTTAGTATTTCAAGATATTACATTTTAAACCCAACCAAAACTCATAATACTACTCCCTACAGAACCGTAATCCACCGCTGTGTCCAGAAACCTGCCCGGCGGAACAAATGTCTAAACGGAATCGATGCTTCGGAGATCGTTCCATTCTTGTTTTCAACACCATTGTGGCCTTGTTCTTCAATCCCTTGCTACTGATGACCCTCTTGGGAGTAGGTGGAGGCTTTCTGTTTCCTACTGGCCTCCCGGAGATGGTGTCTAGTACTTTGCGCACGCTCGGCCAGAGCTTCTCAGCCACGGCTTTGTTTTTGCTGGGCTTGAAGATAGTTGGAGGTGCTGGAGCGGAAAAAAAGAGCACTGGATTCTTGCTGCCTGGTGTGCTTATTTTGGTGAAAATGTGAGTTTTATTTTACACATATTAGACTTATTTTTTTTTAATAATTTATATATTTATTCTTATAGATTGGTGCTACCTCTGGTTATCCGTCAGACTGTCAACATCATGCAGTCTGGCCAGAACTTCAATGACACCACCGAACTGAGCACTTTCGGCTTTCTCTACGGTACCTTTCCAGCTGCCCCCGGCGCTTTTGTGATTGCCACTCAGTACAACATGGAGGTTGAATTGGTAATTTGAATGAAAGTCCCCCACTGTCGCATCTATTAATTGTATATTCTCCGACTGTTTACTTAGGTGGCTCGCAGCATGGTTTTCTGCACTTTCATCTCGGCTCCTCTGATGTTTATATCCGCAAAAATGATATCGTTGACAAATTTGAAGCCTCTGGATTACCTGCACGAGCTAGATGCCTTTTCATTCGACATTAGCGTGGCTGGTGCGGCGGCCTGTTGCTGTATGTTGGTGCTGTTGATTGTTACCAAGCGCTTCAAGAGAATGCCGCAAAGAATTACCTTCTGTCTGGTGCTGTCGCAGGTGAGATATCTTAATGGTAGTATCTTTAGGCACTATTTTAAATAATCTTTTATATTCCCTTTCAGCTAATGTGCTGCATAGGCGTCATACTGTGGTCTAAAATGGAGCACGTCCATCAATGGCCATTGTATTTCCAATTTTTCCTCTTCAATATTGGCACTTATAGCACCCGTTTGTGGACAGGTCTTTTGGCCATTTCGCTACTCTTCCTGCAGTGTCGTAGTCTGTGTTTTGTGCTTAAAATGTGGCCCTATATGGTAGGTCTATCAACATATAATCCTAATTAATTAATCCTTAATTTAATTAAACCTACTTAGCTGGTCTTTGCCTGGGGAGTTCCGGCCATTATATCAGGCCTCTTGGTGGCTTTCGATTCAAATGTTATGTCGGGGGAGAAACACAATCCCAGTTTCCAATATGGAAATGCCCAAGCAGCCATTTCAGTGTTTATGCTCGTCATGTGTTTCATAGGTACGTAAAGGAATATATTTTAAAATCAATAACGCATTCCTACAATGATGACAGAAAAGAGTATATTGAAAAGTTATTTAAAACCAAGCAGATCTTTGGATTGGGCTTGGAAATCGTTACAAATTCAAGGCTCCAACCCTCTCTTTCGAGGAGAAAAAGGTCTGTCAGGTTACAAAATGATTCCCTCAAAGTTTTCAATCTGATAAAGCTCCTTATAGAATTTCCATACCTTTGGCTATGTATATATTAAAATATTCTGTATTTTTATTTTATTTTTTAGTAACCGTGGGCTGCCTGGTGCTACATCAGCGTTACAAGAAACGCTATGAAAAATACATGACCTATTCACGTGAGTTGTCCAACCCCGAGTCGGGTAGGTACCTGATCTTCCAGTGGGACGTATAAATTTAAATGTCAAATCTCTAAACAGAATCATCCGATCTGCATTCGACCATATCCACAACGAACCTGCTGGGCCACACGGATCATGCCTCGATTAGACAAAGTGTTCGCACGGCTTCCTACTCCTCCTCTTCCGATGACGACGAAATGATTCCTACAGCTGCTGGAATGCCAGCCACTAGGGCTAGCGTTACTGGATCAGGATCTGGTGGTGGTTGTGGTTCTGGCAATGGGGCTTGTTGCTCGGGTGGGGATAGGGTGACCACTCCATCAACAACCAGTACTGCGGTGGTGGACATAGAGGATCTGATGAATCGCGCAAGACAACGCAGCAATGCCACGATTAGCAAAGATTTGGACAAGATTGAAAGTGCTCCGGCCAATGAAGAGTAGGTTTACCAATTATCCTTACTGATATATATATTCTTAACTATTATTTTTTGTCTTTCAGAATTCGCAATCAGATGTGCGGCAGTTCTTTCAACTGCGGACCGAGTACCTCGCGTCAAAGCTGCCAGACGATCATAGAACGCTACGAGGACCAAACTAGACGTGGTCTGGAGCCTCTGGAGCAGACTACCGACTCTGATGAGCATCAAACCCTCAAGCACACCGTGCTGCTAATCATACTACTGTGCTCCATGTTTGTCGGCCTGGCAGTGTCCATCTGGACCCTTGTCATGGAGGGAATGTCGGGAATATATTTGGAACTGAGTTTCCTCGATGCTTTCCTCAACTTTGGACAGGGATTAATCGTGTTGGCCGTATTCATAACCGATATGGGAGAACTGTTAATGCCGGTAGTCAGGCTTTGGCGCAAGATATGGTAAGTTTGTAGGATTTTCTTTCATGTTTTCAAGACTACTAGACACTCTCTCCCTACAGGTATGGAGCCAATGTGGTTAGCCTGCCCCACTGGTCCAATCTTCGGCCAGAAACCAAGCATATTTGCGAGCAGTTCCGTAATCATCACTTGGAGAATTGCAAAAAGGATATTGCAAAGGATAGAAGGTGGGTAGTACTTTCAGAATTTAGTCCTATTTTAGCTTAGAAGTATGAGGCAGAGTTTAATTTAAAATTTTAGTTTTTAAAGACCCCTTTCTGATTTAAAAACTTAATTTCTAAAACCTTGATTTAAACTAGAACTTTAAGCCGCAATAGGAGTGATATTTTTTAATTAAAATATTTATATAAAAATAATGTAAGTATGGGAGTTAGATTATTTGAGTATCTTTGCATTTTTTAAAGCTTTATATTTCGCTTTTTATTATTTTTAATATCCTAAACTAAAGTTTAATATTTTTATAACTAATTTCATTGTCTATTTCCGCAGATGGCGCATTCGAGTATATCGCAAGGTATTCTATGGCAGCGAGTTCGTCAGCTGGCTCATCGAGGTGGGCTTGTCCAAGGATCGCCTGGAGGCCGTCCACTACGCCAGGCACCTGGTCGATGGCAGGGTCCTGCGGCACATCAACAATGTATACCACTTCGAGGACAAGCTGCTGCTCTACAATTTCTGCAGTCGCATCTAGGAGCGCACCAGCGTTTAATGCCAAGATGAAGCAACTACGCCAAATTTAGTTTGATTTCCTGTTTAGTTTTTCATATGTTTTGTATGTAATTTTGACTGCTGTGATTGTTCGCCAAACAAAAACACACTCTCACACAAGACAGCCGATTGTGTGTGGGTGCGGAGGCGAAGGCGAGTGGGAGGATGAGCTAGTGAAATTGTTTATACTGTCCAAGTAATTTGCTTGGCAAACGAAAAAAGTTTATTTTTTGTAAATGTTTATTACTAAGTAGTTGACTCAGCCATCAGCTTGAGCTTTATATAGTGCAATATAGAAATACTGAATGTAATCGATGCAGAAAGTTACCTAAATACGCTACACTATTACTTTAAACTTTAAACTCTTAACAAAATGATGTGTCACAACTTAATAGAAAACTGTGCATAAAACGTTTCTGGGAGGCCAGAGCTGTAAACGAATAAATTTGTATAAATACCCGTAGGATAGTATACACTCATGAATAAATATATATATGCATATATACCTCTGGCCGTAAGGCCTACAGATCAAAGCACTCGATTTTAATCTCTCGGTTTTCTTTATTTATTTGATAGCTTTTGTATTTTCAGATATTCTTGAAGTTTGCGCTACTGGATTATATTTGTTATATTAAATAAAAGTATCCTCTAAGTTTTTAAATCTAAGAGCTGTAAGTTGTCGATAACTAAAGCTCTCTGCCTCATATAATGCGTCAAGGCGCATGTGACAATTGCATTTGGATCTCATGCGATGAAACCCCTTTTCTGTGGCTACAAAGTCACCAATATTCCACAACTGCATCATTGCATCATCATTTGTACTTCATTAACCATAAATATGAGTGTGTTCAGAATCGTTTTTCGAACCGGACTCTGGCTCAGATTTGATTTTGAAAGCGAGTCGATCGATCCACCCGAAAGCGTCGCGGGTTACCACTTTAAATTAAATAATAATTATTATTATCAGTACTGTTAATAAATTCCTAATGGAATGAAATAAAATAATTCCAATTAGGAATTATTAAACTTATTATTGGTGCTGTGGGAGTAAAATCTTTGGTGTGTGTGACGAAATACAATTTCAATTTTCCTTCGAGTCTATTAAATCGATTCCGTAATGCAAAATGCAACCACTCCGCCGAAATCCCTCCACGGCAATGATACCATGAATAATTTCTACCCAGCGCTGGTTCAGTGCTTCGGCATCATCCTTTGTGGGTAAGTTGAAACAATTTCATGGTGATACCCCTTGAAAAATTTCGAAAAATTTCAAAATCATATTAAGGCAATATTTTGAATGAGGAAAAGCGGTTCTGGAAGCGCTGATCACAAAATGGTACTTCATTTCCTGATCATATACAAATTGGCAGAGCCATGCACAGCGGAGGTGGGAAAATGGGGACTTTCTGAAAAACCACATTTTCATAGGGGTACCCCTTGAAAAATTCGAAAAATTTCAAAATCATATTTAGGCAATATTTTGAATGAGGAAAAGCGGTTCTGGAAGCGCTGATCACAAAATGGTACTTCATTTCCTGATCATATACAAATTGGCAGAGCCATGCACAGCGGAGGTGGGAAAATGGGGACTTTCTGAAAAACCACATTTTCATAGGGGTACCCCTTGAAAAAATTCGAAAAATTTCAAAATCATATTTAGGCAATATTTTGAATGAGGAAAAGCGGTTCTGGAAGCGCTGATCACAAAATGGTACTTCATTTCCTGATCATATACAAATTGGCAGAGCTATGCACAGCGGAAGTGGAAAAATGGGGACATTCTGAAAAACCACATTTTCATAGGGGTACCCCTTGAAAAAATTCGAAAAATTTCAAAATCATATTTAGGCAATATTTTGAATGAGGAAAAGCGGTTCTGGAAGCGCTGATCACAAAATGGTACTTCATTTCCTGATCATATACAAATTGGCAGAGCCATGCACAGCGGAGGTGGGAAAATGGGGACTTTCTGAAAAACCACATTTTCATAGGGGTACCCCTTGAAAAAATTCGAAAAATTTCAAAATCATATTTAGGCAATATTTTGAATGAGGAAAAGCGGTTCTGGAAGCGCTGATCACAAAATGGTACTTCATTTCCTGATCATATACAAATTGACAGAGCTATGCACAGCGGAGGTGGGAAAATGGGGACTTTCTGAAAAACCACATTTTCATAGGGGTACCCCTTGAAAAAATTCGAAAAATTTCAAAATCATATTTAGGCAATATTTTGAATGAGGAAAAGCGGTTCTGGAAGCGCTGATCACAAAATGGTACTTCATTTCCTGATCGGATACAAATTGGCAGAGCTATTCACATCGGAAGTGGAAAAATGGGGACATTCTGACGTACTTCCTGACGTTACTTCCGTAATAATTCCTGTTTCAGATATATCGCCGGACGCTTTAAGATCATCAGTAATGCGGAAACCAAAGGAATGAGTACCTTCGTGGGCACCTTTGCTCTCCCCTCACTGATTTTCCTGAATTTGTTGGAACTGAACTGGAGTACAGTGAACTGGAGCTTCCTGCTGGCCATTTTGGTGGCCAAGGGAGTGGTCTTTTTCGTCGTTTTGATCGTATCCTTGCTGGTTTCCCGACCCTTGAACTACGCTCGCGCTGGTTTGATGGCCATTTTCTGCACCCAAAGTAATGACTTTGCCATCGGTCATCCCATAGGTAAGGTTCTTTACTTTAAAGATTAAAAAAACAACGTTACGAATATAATACCTACGAAACTACCAATAAATAATACTAAAAAAAAATAAATTAATAAATAATAAATAACATATTACATAAATACCATAAATAACATATTCACAGTAATGGCTCTGTACAAAGATATCCATCCGGAATACCCATCATACCTCTACCTGATGGCCCCCATATCGCTGGCAATTTTGAATCCCATAGGTTTAGCCCTCATGGAAATTGCAAAGATTGTTAAGAATAAAGAGGAAAGGGTAAGTTCATAATTTTAAATAAGTTTTAAGTAACAATTACTCATTATTTTCCCACACAGACCCGTAATCCACCTTTAGGTCCAGAAACTACTCCAGAGGAACAAATGTCTAAATGGAATCGTTTCTTTGGGGAGCGTTCCATTCTAGTTTTCAACATCATTGTGGCCCTGTTCTTTAATCCATTGCTATTGATGACTCTCCTGGGAGTAGCTGGTGGTTTCCTGTTTCCTCATGCAATCCCAGAGTGTATTTGTAGTATTTTGCGAACTCTCGGCAAGAGTTTCTCAGCCACGGCCTTGTTTTTGCTTGGCATGAAGATAGTTGGTGGGGCAGGATCGGAAAAGAAAAGCAATGGTTTCCTTCTACCCGGTGTCCTTATTTTAATGAAAATGTGAGTTCTCTATTAGGCATTTCATACTTATACTAATACTTTATTTTTTATCCTTCCAGAGTGGTTCTACCCTTAGTCATTCGTCAGACGGTGAACCTCATGGAGTCTGGCCACAATGCCAATGAGACTACCGAGCTGAGCTCTTTCGGCTTCCTCTACGGAGCCATTCCAACTGCTGCCGTCGCATTTGTGGTGGCCACTCGGTACAATTTGGAGGTGGAATCGGTAATATAAATTAAGATCTCGGGCTTTAACAAAGATATAATTGTATGTTGTATGTTTGTTTAGGTGGCGCGCAGTCTGGTTTTCTGCACTATCATCTCAGCTCCTGTGATGTTTATATCCGCCAAAATGATATCGGTCAAAAATTTAAAAGTAGAGGATTATCTATACGAGCTAGATGCCTTTTCATTCGACATTAGCGTGGCTGGTGCGGCGGCCTGTTGCTGTATGTTGGTGCTGTTGATTGTTACCAAGCGCTTCAAGAGAATGCCGCAAAGAATTACCTTCTGTCTGGTGCTGTCGCAGGTGAGATATCTTAATGGTAGTATCTTTAGGCACTATTTTAAATAATCTTTTATATTCCCTTTCAGCTAATGTGCTGCATAGGCGTCATACTGTGGTCCAAAATGGAGCACGTCCATCAATGGCCCTTGTATTTCCAATTTTTCCTCTTCAATATTGGCACTTATAGCACCCGTTTGTGGACAGGCCTCTTGGCCATTTCCCTACTCTTCCTGCAGTGTCGTAGTCTGGGTTTTGGGCGTAAAATATGGCCCTATATGGTAGGTTTTTTACCACAGAATCTTAATTAATTAATCCTTTACTTGATTTCTTTGTTAAGATGGTCTTTGCCTGGGGAGTTCCGGCCATTATATCTGTTTTTTTGGTGATTTTCGACTCAAATGTTATGTCGGGAACAAAATACAATCCTAGTTTTCAATATGGAAATGTCCAAGCTTTCATTTCAGTGTTAATGCTTGTCATATGTTTTATAGGTACGTAAAAGGTGTATTAGTTATAATTAAAGGAAAAGTTATTAAAAGCCCAGCTAATCTTTGTGTTGGGTTTTTGTTTTTCATATTTAAGGCTAAGTCTAAAAATGTATTAAAAAATTATTTACATATGTACATTTTAAGATAATATTTTGAGTAGAATTATTTCACACTGTTTGCTATTTACATATTAAATATGTTTTTTTTTTCATTTTATTTTTTAGTAACCGTGGTCTGCTTGGTGATACATCAGCGTTACAAAAAACGCTTTGAGAACTACATGCCCCAATCCCGTCCGTTGGCCAACACGGAGTCGGGTAGGTCCTTGATGGTCCAGTATCATAAGTATAAATTTAATTTATAAATCATTGAACAGAATCTGAAGTGCATTCGATAATATCCACAACGAACTTGATGGGTCGCACGGATCATTCCTCCATTCGCACTACATCCTACTCCTCTTCCAATGACGATGAAATGATTCCGACAGCCACTGGTATGGTGACGACTAGGGCGAGTGCTTCTGGATCTAGAGCATCTGAGACAGAATCTGATAGTGGCTGTGGAGATAGAGTGGACAATCCATCAACGGCCAGTACTGCGGTGGTGGACATAGAGGATCAAAAGAATCGAGAACGTCAAAGCACCAACGCAAAAAATAGTAAAGATCTAGACACGATGGAAACCGCTTCGACCAATGATGAGTAGGTTTATTTTTAAGGTTTACTTCAATGTCATAGGGAATAAATATATTTTGTTCTTTTCGTTTATTCAACAGCGGACCAAGTATCTCCTCACATCAGATAGAACACTTCGAGGACCAGGACAGAAGCGGTCTGGAGCCTCTGGAGCAAACTACCGACTCCGATGAACATCAAACTATCAAGCACACCGTGCTGCTAATCATCCTACTGGGCTCTATATTTGTCGAACTGGCGGTGTTTGTCTGGACCCTTGTCATGGAGAAAATGTCGGGAATATACTGGGAACTGAGTTTCCTCGATGTTTTCCTCAACTTCGGTCAGGGTCTAATCGTGTTGGCCGTTTTCATAACCGATGTGGGCGAACTGTTAATGCCGGTAGTCAGGTTTTGGCGAAAGTTATGGTAAGTTTGTTGGGAACCCCTCTGGTACATGGACTACAGCAGAGATTATTCTTTCAGGTATGGAACCGATGGGGTTAGCCTACCGCACTGGTCTAATCTTAAGCCAGAAACCTTGCATATTTGTGACCAGTTTCGTAATCATCACCTGGAGAATTGCAAAAAGGACATTGCAAAGGATAGAAGGTGGGTAGTACTGGCAGATCTTTCTCCCTATGAAAACTTGATCTAAATAAATAACTAATTTGATTATCTATTTTCCCAGATGGCGATTTCAAGCATATTGCCAGGTATTCTATGGCAGCGAGTTCGTCAGCTGGCTTATCGAGGTGGGCCTGTCCAAGGATCGCCTGGAGGCCGTCCACTACGGCAGGCACCTGGTCGATGGCAGGGTCCTGCGGCACATCAACAATGTATACCATTTCGAAGACAAGCTGCTGCTCTACAATTTTTGCAGTCGCAACTAGAAGCGCACTAAAAATTAATGCCGAGATTAAAGCATAGTATTGAGTTGACGAAAATCCGCTGTTGAAATTCTGATAGCGATTTTGCACTTTATTCGGCTGCCGAGGTAGTGTGACCAAAACAATGAAGAAATAAGGTAATACTGAACAGCTGTTGTTTGTAAACAAGAAACAAATAAGCAAAAATGAATTCAAAACGATTGGATGTTGGTGTTTTGTTTATGTATTTCGCCAAATCAAATCATTTCAATGCCATTTTATGGCATTAAAATGCCCCTTGTGGGTCAAATCCCATATTATGGGCTTCGTCTTGACCGCAGAAATTAATTTTAGTTTGTCCTGGCGCGTCGAAAATTTTTCGGGCCGACTATTTTTTTGTTTGGTCAATTGACCCTCCATGTCACACCTATAAAAATAAATTCAAATATTTATTTTAACACCCCGAGAGCAGCTGTTTATTTTTTTTGATCCGGCAACACGGTTAAAATCGATAACAAAAATTTTCGTCAACTCAGTACCCGCAAAAACTAGCAGGCAAAAATTTCTTCTTCTTTCCTTTTTTACACCGTTTTTTTTATATGGAGTTTGACAGCTGTCACTCGTTGGACAGCGGATTTTCGTCAACTCAGTACTATGCTTAAGAAACGGCGCCAAATTCAGTTTGATTTCCGGTTTAGTTTTTCTTATCTTGTTTATGTACTTTTGACTGCTGTGATTGTTTGCCGGAAAAAACAGCCAGGCGAGTGGGAGGATGAGCTAGTGACATTGTTTACACTGTCGAAGTAATTTTCTTGGTTAGTAAATTTAAGATTAAGTTAGTAATAAAGATAAAGAAGTAATAAAGATATCATAAGAAAAAATACATAGATCTTTATTAATTTGATTTTTAAAGGTTGAAAAATAGTTGGTGTATATGTTCAAGAGTTTATATTAGACAGTTGCTATAGTTGTACAAGTACATTAGTTTTTTCATGTTATATTATAGGAGTTTGAGGTTGAACTTATGATATTGATTTGCTTCGATTACATTCAGTATTTGTATTAATCACTATATTAAGCTCAAGCTGATGACTGAGTCAACTACTTAGTAATAAACATTTATAAAAAATAAACTTTTGGCGTTTGCCAAGCAAATTACTTGGACAAAATAAACAATTTCACTAGCTCATCCTCCCACTCGCCTGGCTGTCATGTGCCAGTGTGTTTGTCCGCCAAACAATCATGGAAGTCAAAATTACATACAATAGATATGAAAAACTAAACAATATTAATCAAGCATTTATTCATTAAAATCTCAAAATACAAAAATTTAATAGTATTTATATTTTATATCTAATGATGCTCAGAACTATAAATTAAATTATAACCTAGGTAAAATGAAATCTAGAAAAATGTATATCCTTTGGAGGCAGTAACTTGTTGAAAGAGTGAGGGTCTATACCTGTAAAATATGCATTTTGCTTAATTAATCCTCTGACAGGAACAAAGTCCTCCAGCCTACCATGCATTTGTGTCTTATTCGATTTCAATCTGGGATTGTTTTATTCTTAATCTGATAGCCTCTTGATATATCTGTTGTTTTATTGTTTGTTATCCGAATCCTCAGCTATTTGTTGGGTTTGCACGCGTCGCGCAATCCGCGTTCTGCGTGTTTGAAATACTAAGCCTCTTAATTCCGGCCACCGGCACTTATATTAATTGTTCGCAAGTCATCTTCGATTTAATATTCTGCCGGCGATGCTCGAAGCTATTTTTTGGTGTGCGCCTGCCTCCCATAACCATTCTGGAAGAAAAGTCTCGGCTCGCCTTCATCCAAAGTTCGAGTCGGCAGTTAATTGTTATGCTAAATAAAAGATTTCTTTCATTTTTTATGTAAAATGCACTTGAACACTGTCTGCGAAAAGTCCTCGATCACTAAAATTCTCTGCGTCAGTTCGAATCTGAGTCAAGGCGTTTGTGGCGTCAACTGCATTCTTATTGGATGAAGCCATTATCTCAGAAGCCTGTGGTTATAATGTGTCTTCTAACATTATGGGTCGGACATCAAAAAGTCAGCCTGCCGCAATAAAGTCACAAGGTCTGGCCCATTTCCCCCACTCGATTATATAAAAAGCAGTGGGGAGGTGACTCATTCAGAGCGGTAACCCTGGAATGCATTTTGGCTAAGGATAGTCATTAAAAAATTCTCTATCTAATAAAAAATTGTTTGTGGTTTTCAAAATTCTGACAGGACAAAGTATTTTCAAAATTTCAATGAGATAATTCTATATTAAGGTTTGACATTAATTATTTTTAATAAATCTCTTGAAGAGTGTTTAGAATTTCTCATAGAATTTCTTCCGACATTAAAATGTGTTTATTTTGTGATTTTTTCCCCTATTGACATTAGCTGCAAACATTCAGAGTCTTGTATAGAAAGGTAAGTACTTAGATAATTTTTTTTAAGGCACTATCTTTGTTGACAAAAGCAATACAAACGGACTTTAACTTTAACTAATTTTTTCATTAAAAAGTACACTGCACCCTTTAAAGACCTAATAACTCAAGTGGGTTACAATCACTCATTAATCACACACTTTATATCTGAGGACTGCGACCTGAATAAGTGCAAATAGTGCGTTATTATTTATTCATTTAATTTTGCACAAAACGCACATAAAGAATGTGTGACCCTCTGGGGAGTAGAGTTCAGAGGTCAGTCAACCCTTGGCGTCTCCGGAAAGTAATTTTTATTTGTCCAAACCCACGCCGGGGAAGACAAAATATATGGGCTGCTGTCAACATTGCTTTCGGGCATCCAATTTCGGCCGGCACAATTAATAGACACCAATACAAATTCGGGATACGGATAACATGGCTGTCAAAGGACACCCAATTCTGGGTAAAATGGAAACATTCACAGTTTGTGTTCTGTTTGCCTTTTTGGGGTAAATTAACTAAAAATAGTCACAGCAGCATGACGCCTAAACTCAAAATGTGGGACAATGAGCGATGGGGAGGATACTTCTGGATCCCAAAAAGACGTCAGTATCCCACAGACCGCAGGCTCGTTAATTTCCTCCAGCTGTAGTTGTGGCATTTAATTTCAAGTTGCTCATACGCCCCGTTGTCGCCACAACAAAACACAAGTGCCCCAAGCCCTACAATGCCTCCCTTCCGGCCATCCCGAAACGGAGCCTTCCCATTACCAATTGGCACTTCCGCCTCATTTTACCGATTCACTAATTTCCCACTTAAAATGCAAGTATGCGAGTCTTTCATCTCAAATCGAAAGCAATAGGCATCAAGTTCACACCAAATATTTCCAATCAATTCATTTGCAATTGTTTTCATAATCTTTTTTTTGTTTTGAAGAATTGCCCTCAAAAATTTATATTGCAAGTAATAATCCAAAATTATCGGCAAAAATACAAATTGAAAATTCTTAATTGTGTAAATTTTATTAGACCTCCGGGGCGGAACAAATGCAAAAGCTAAATCAAAAGGCATGCCGAACATTTGGAAAATATACCATTAAATTGAATACTCTCTATTATAATTATAATTTAGGTAATGAGTTTGAAAGTTATTTAAATTCCTTTTTTAACAAGTTTAGTTTCTTTATGTGTGGTACTCTTTTGTCTTTTTAATCTATGAATCAATGATCTTTGAATCTCGAAATATCTTACAAACTACTCATTATAGATTCATAATTTCAACACTCATTTTTGGGTCTTAAAAAACAACTAATGAAAGATTTTATAAATTTAGAATTTATATCATAAAAAAATAACAAAGAAATGACAAGACAAGATACTAATCTTTCAAATATTTTTACCACATTTCTAAATGTTTCTAAAACACTGCTTACTGGCAAGATTTTACTTAAGATTAGACTATTTAAAAAATAGATAATATATTTTATTGCAAAAATGTTTAAATTAATCTTGTTCTATAAAATATTATTCTCACCCTTGAATGTACCCCATAATTAGTTAGAGTATAAAAAACAATAAAATTCGTTTGTTATTCTGACTTTTCGCACACGTTCACAGACGTTGGCACGAGCTGTGCATTTTCGATGGGGTAGTGCTGTGGGGTTTTGAAATATATACAAATATATATACACATAAATATATACATTAACCGACCATCTATGGCGCCAGCCGAAGCCGCAGCCGAACCGCCAGCCGAACCAGCGCCACCCAACTGTTGAGCCCAGGAACCTTCCCCACAACCTACCATCCATCCACCCATCCATCTAACCATCCATGGAGCTATAGCTATGGGTATACCTATATCCACAGAAAAGCCAGCAGCCCGCTCATTCTAAATCGACGCCTGGCCGACTGCGGACGCGCGAGCTCTCCTCGGTATTCAGAATCGGTTTCCGAATCGACTCCGGATCAGATTCGAATTTGGAAGCAAGTCGATCGATCTACCCCCGAAGTGTCGCGGGCCACCACTGCCACTTTAATCATTAATTAAGTGTCTCTTAGAAAATAATTCCAAACGGGCCAAACTAAGAAACAAGTTTGCAGCTGGCTGCATATCTGTTTTTGTTGTGAGAGTGCGATTTGTGAAAAAAAAAATCTGTAGTGCGTGTGGCAAGATACATTTGTTTTCACTCAAGCCAATTAACTCGATACCATAATGGAGTCCACCACACCTGTGCTGGATCTGATGTTGCAAATGCAAAATGCAACTACGGCAGTTCCTCCGAAATCTCTCTATGGGAATCGGCATCGTTTAATCCTGAGTACCATTGTGATGGGCCTCGGGGTTTTGGGCAACTCACTGGCCCTTTTTATTTTGGCGCGAAAAAAGCACAACAAAAATAGTAAATACACTCTTATGTTGCGGTAAGTGCAATTACGCCGTACTCGTTAATACAAATAATTAAAAAACAAACACAGAGTAACTGAAAGTGCCATAAATTAGTCATTACCTCAGGCAAGGCAGAGAGAATTTCATGGGAAAATGTTTCAAATAAATATCAGAATTATGTGACCTAAGACCTGGTTTTTTAGTCATTTAATAAATATATTTTTGTTAATTATTATCTTATCTTTATGGCCCATAATTGCGTAGTTTATAGCTAGTTTTCTCTCAGTGCACCTACTCATTTTAAGCACTTAATGTTTGTGACTGTTTGTGGCCAGTTCATGGCTCTCTGAGTTTATTCAACTGGCTTCTCAACTATAGTGTTCGATTTTTTATATGTTTATATGCCTATGCGGGCCTGATTTGCATAGCTTGAATTGTTTGTGTCCGGCGGTTGGCTTTTAGTTTACTTTTGCATATCTTATCATGAACGGAATTGGTTCACTTGCTGGCCGAGTCTGTTTTGGATTTGGTCTTATCGGTCACATGTATAAGAATGCAACAGTTGTCAGTGCATTAAAATCCCATTAGTTTTCGTACCAAGAAGATAAAGAACTATTTTATAAAAGTGCAACTTGTACTTTCCACTTAAATATAATAAATGACGCATAATAAAGTACTCTCCAAAAAAATTACAAAAATTTACACACCATTTATCAGCATAAAACCCCGTCTTGAAGTTCACTGAACAATATTCCAATTTGCGCAATTTCTTTACTCTTTATTTTTTGCTGAGACAACAAGGCGTATGCGTAATATGCGTAAATTTCTAGTGACAGCAATTTGAATCCCTTAGAGAAAAAAAGAAAAGAAATTAAGGCAAATTCCGCATCAAACATGAACCTCCTTTTAGCATGGAGCCTTTGATCTGTAATTTGATTGATTGTAGGAACCCAGTGATTGGCACTTGAGCCTTGTCGATAAATCAGGGCAGCCGAATGACATCAGTGTGAGTCTCATTCCAACCTCACGATTGGTATTTTTGTGTTTATGGAAGAACCGGAATGAGAATGAAAATATTACTTCCCCTATTTACATCATAGTATACGTTTGCACAAATAAACAATGCGCTTGCCTTTACAAGTCAACAACTACATATATTTCTCATTGCAAATTGGAAATTTAGGAATTTTCGCCAAAAGTCAATTCACGCCCTCTAATGAACAGTTTCGTAGCGTTTTTCTCCTCCTCGGCGCTGAAACTTTTACAGCACACCATAAATCGAATTTTGTAGGCAATAGTTTGGCTTTTGATGCCAGCAATGAACATTTTCTATACTATAATTGTATATCGTAATTTTAATAGAAAGCATTGCTGTGGTCAGTGATTACCTGGGGTATTGGGGCATCCCCCTCTGGCCCTCTAGGCAGGGCTGCTGGCTTTTAAATGATTTCTATTGAAAAGCCCTCCAACACATAAATTTTCATCCCACCCGGTGACAAATGAGTTTCCCATGTCAACGGTGCCCTAAAAACAATCGAAATGGAAAGCACATGAAACTTTTTATGGACCAAATAAAAAGGAAATACTTAATCTAATTCACTCTTGACAGATGTTTTAGTATTAAGGTGTCAAGCAGGGTATTTCCCTGCAGACCACGTAGACACACATCCTGAAATAAATCTTTAAATAGCTTAAAATAATTATAAAATACCTCTATAAAAGATTCTACACTCTCCGCCATTCACAACTAAAACGCTTAATGTTTATCGCTGTTAATTTATTATTATTTAACACAAAATGAATTATACATTTGCGATTAACATCTATTGGTAGCTGTTTGGACTGCCCGTCACGTTTTTGGCCAACCAAAATCGGTTAGTTGTACAACCAAATGCGGACAGCTTTAAGGTTTCAGATTGAAAGTTCCGTCTTATCAGAATGGCAATTAATTGAAAACGAAAATGGTCATAACATTACTGCCAATACTTGTGGTTTAGTAGGGAACTCACAGTATCCCCGCCTGAAACTTACGTTAATGGAGTGGAAAACTTTTATTATCCTATTTACGAGGCTGCAATGACATAAAGCCAAAGCCAGGCCGAATTTATGGGTCTATTTCGTGCTCGTCTAATTCTCACCCTCTGTTCCAGATGCCTGGCCACCAACAATCTGGTGGCTTTGCTGGGGATGTTGACCACGTCGGTGCTGAAGTATAATCTCACCGAGGAAGTCCATCAGTCCTTTATGCGGCTGGACTGTGTGGGTCACGTAGTCTGGCGGTTCTTTGGCCTCAGTTCCGGTTGTATTGCGGCCGTAATGGCAGCCGAAAGGTGGATGGCCTTGGCGAGACCCTTTATTTATCATAAGGTAAGATCCATATTTTTAAATTGGACACATAAAACTACTCTGCATTAAATAATAAACCTTTTTTTTATTGCACTCCTTGAAAACCCATATTTTATTACATTTATATCTGTCGTATTATATTATCCTCCAGCACATTACTTACGAGCTTATCCGGAAAAGCATCAACATTATATTGCTTGTGGCCGTGATCATCACATTTCTGCCATTTGCTGGCTTTGGGGCCTACATTGATGAATCGGATGAGAATAATTTGAGATGCATACGTTATCGGGATGCTGAAGGGGCTTGGAACAAGGCATACGCTGTGCTCTTTATGGTTTTTGGTAAATAAATTATTAAAATAATATTTTATTAAAATTTTAAAACCATTATTTAGATTCCATTTTTCATCATTTTATTTTCTTGTATGAAAAACCTCTACAAAAAAGTTTTACTTTTAAAAATCATATTATTTTTAAAACAATAGCTATTTATTTATTTATTTTATATTAAAAAAAGCTCAATAATTTTTAAATTTGCTATCCCTATGGACTACCGTCTTTATAAACCAAATTGCAGAGTAATTTTTAAAAGAAATGCCGCCACCTTCCTATTTCGATTTATCGGGACTCGACTGTATTGCTCGTTTAACCCCAAAAGTAGGCAATACAAATTTCTTAATGATACAAAAGGTCCTTTAAGAGTCGGCAAGAGTACCGGGTATCTCTTACTCTGGGTATCTGGATACTTCTCCCAATTATTTAATAATTATAATTATTATTAAATATAACTTAAATTATTTCTCCATTTTTCATCAAAACAGGCACCCTCCTATGCATTGTAATCGTGGCCTGCAATCTTTTCGTGGCCCACACCCTGCTCTGTGTCATAGGGCGGAGTCGGACGGCAAAGCGGCATATGCACTATGACCTGGTCACCAGAGACAAACACAGCAGCGTGCAGATCGATCCAGAGAGTAGCAGCGCCACCACACTCTACCAGACACAGCTGAGCTCCGGCAGTGGAGGAAGTGGGCATCGCAGTGTCCAGCCGGCGCGACAATACCGGCAGAGCGTCAGCGTCACCATGTCGGCCACTGAGTCCTCGCCGGTGGAGATCAAGTTCGCCAAGCTGATGGCCTTCCTCAGCATTTCGTTCGTTATCTGCTGGATGCCCCAAATGGTAAGAATTCTTAGATGTGGGTTTGTTTTCAGACACTTAACCACCTATCTTTAAAGATTGCTATACCCCTGGCCATTGCTCCGAATCGGGTGCCCGCATCGAACAAGTTCTTCCTCATCGCCGACGTCCTGACGGCCCTGCACTTCACCTCGGACCCCTACGTCTATGTGCTGAGCCGTTCCAAGTCCATCAACTGGTCCTTGCTGGGCTGCATCAAGCGCTGGCGCAGCGGCTGGCGGCCCAACAAGCTACGTCGATCTCAGAGTGACCAGAGCCGGATGCGCACCACCATGACGGAGGCCAACACCCTCGACTTTAACTGATTCTTGATCCTCAAACTGCATCCCAGTACTTAACCCCAAAGAAACCATACATAGCCACTCGTCCTCTCATTTTTAGACACCTCCGAAGTACTCGAAGAAGTGGCACTTCCTAGTCATGTAAGATGTAAATAATATAGGATATATCCTGAACCCACTTTGTGTTACCATATCATCAAAGATCCCCATGCTCAGCTGACATAATCTCAGAATCAAAGTTAAGATTTCAACAAAAATATTTGCATATATAAGTGTATGTATATTATGTGTAATAAAGAGCCTGCTCTAGAGATTCTCTGCCTATATAGTCCTATATAGGACCCTGATCCAGTCTCCACCCACATGAAATGAAAACAATCAACAATTTGTTTTACAACTACGTTTGTTTTCTTTGTTTATTTTAAAATGTATACGATTACATATATTTTAAATGGTTGGCTGCCCAGAGTGTTGTGGTATGCAGTCTACAGGGGATGGGGATGGGGGATTCGGGATTGGATCGTTTTGGATTGTTTTTTTTTGTATTGCAGAGATTGATCGGGACGACTTTGTTCATATGGAAATCAATCAAGTTGTTTGTCTTCCTTCCTCCTCCTCCTCCTCCTTAGAGCGTCAAGAAAGTTGTATTCAATTACAATGTAGTCCACTGTTTCATCTCCGGATGATTGCGTAAAGTTGTTTTTCATTTTATTTGCAAATATACGAGATGCAAATGTCAAATACTAGCTCCGCTCCTTCCTTCTTCCTCCTCCTCCTCCGCCTCCATCATCTTCTTCTTCTTTGTCGAGGGGGCATATGTGTGTTCATTTTATGGGCGTCTATATTTTAGTGTTATCTTTAGTTACGAATCCTAATTTAGTAGCGGTTGTAGCGGGCGCGAGCACGTTGACGCTGCGGCGTAGCCTTCGGACCAGCAGCGGCTCGAGCCGGCGTGGCCTTCTTGTTCGGTGACGGAGAAGATTCGGCGGCAGGTGTGGCGGCCGCAGCTGCTGGAGTGGCGGCGGCACCGCCAGCCTTGGCTGGTGTCTTGGCCGGTGCCTTTGCTGGTGTGGCAACCACCTCTGGGGCGGGCTCCGGCTCGGGTTCAGGCTCAGCTTCGGCCTCCTGATCGCCCTCCTGGGCCTCCATCTCCTCATCTCCGCCGGCTTCTTCTTCGCCCTCGCCCTCACCCTCACCCTCGGCCTCGCCTTCGCCCTCAGCCTCGCCGTTGTCCTCCACCATCTCAACATCGTCATCGTCGCCAGTGGCCTCCGATGGATCGTACAGCTCGCCCTCGGCCTCCTCGGTAGCCTCGTCGCCGGCAGCACCCTCCTCAGCGGCCGGAGTGGCCTCGGTCTCCTCCAGCTTGCGCTTCTTGCGCTCATTCTCCTCCAGAGCGGCGGCGGCACGCTTCTGGGCAATCTTGGTGTCGCTCGACTTCTCGTTGATGAACTTCAAGAAGTTGCGGTGATGGGTGGCTGTGCGCGAGTGGATCTCGGCGGTCACCTCGGTGTCGAAGAACTTGCTGCAGACGGAGCACTCGTAGCACTCCAGCTTGGAGATCAATCCAGCGCCGACGGCCCGCTGGTAGTTGTACTTCGGAAGGCGAGTGTCCACCTCGCTGGGGATGTCGTCGCCCTCGTTGTAGTCGAGGATGCAGTCCTCGGCATCTACGGGCAGAGCCACTTCCTCATCCTCCTGCGACTCGTTGAGCTCCTCGCCCTCCTTGGCCTCGTCGGCGTTCTCCTCGCCGTCCTTGCCCTCCTCACCATCGGCATCTTCGCCCTCAGCTGCCTCGCCCTCGGCACCCTCCTTCTTGGCATCGGCCTCACCCTCCTTCTTGGCAGCCTTCTTCTTCTTCTTCTGGGGCAGGCGGAGATCGCGGGTCTCCTCCTCCTCGGTGCTGATCGGCAAGGTCTGGCGCTTGCGCTCACCCACCTTGGTGTTGCTCTCGGCGGCCTTCTTCAAGTGCTCGGCCGACAGAAGATGGGTATCGTAGTCGATGCGAGTGGCGAACTCCTTGTTGCACTCCACGCACTTGGGATGCAGGAACTTCTTCAGCTGAAGATGTCCCTCGGACTTGCGATGGGTCGAGATATGGCCATGGAAGTTCAGGTCGCACATGGTGCAGTAGTCCAGCTGGCGCTGCTTGCTCTTACCCATCCGCTTCAAGCGATCGAACTCAATCGACTTGAGCTGCTCGGCGATCTTGGCCTCCTGGCGGATCATGTTGGCCTTGAGGCGGTAGCTCTCCTCAATGCCCTCACGCATCATCAGATGGGTGCGTCCCTTGATGTGGTTCTCGAACGAGTTGGCGTCCCACATATGCTTCTTGCACAGATGACAGTAGAACATGTCGTTCGGCACGCTAGCGTACGGCGACTCCTTGCTGGCAGGGCTATAAGATCAGAGATCGAATATTTGTCAGGGGTGGGGGATAGGGGTTGGGAGGAATAAAAAAAAGAAAAGAATTAGTTGAATTTCTCAAGAGGATCAACCGGGAGTCATCTGGTGGTAGAGAATACAACATTAGAGGATAGTGATTCTGGCTGCAACTTATACTAATGATACATACTATACAGATGGCGATGGGTTATGATTATCTATGATTTTATATGCGATATGTATTATATAAGGAAATATGAAAAACTGTTTAAACTTTAATGATTATTTTATTTTAAAAATGATTCAGTTTTAATATTTCCTTAAAATGAGAAGCGAATTGGTATAAAAATAATGTAATGATTGTATAGTTTATCATAAAAATATGTATGGATGTGTCTAGAGGCCTGGGAAAGAGGAATTAAATATCACAGACTATCACAGAATATTATTATATTTAAATCCTCTTTTTATCCCAAAAAGATATTATTTTAAGAGTTTCCTCAAATACCCCACCATGGATCCTCATAAAAAAATTCTAAGGAAACCTATCTTTTTTTAAAAATAATTTGTTTTCAGAGATGAATGAGAAAAATTAGTTTGAAAGTCCTAATTACTAAAGTAAAAACTGCTTAAATATATAGTTACGATTCTGAGTTGGGTACGTAGGGAAATGAATCCCTTCGATTTTTATTTATTTTTTTGGTGAAAGCAGCAAAAAATTGTATATTCTGGTAGTTTTTCTTTTGTTTTTTTTGGAAAAATTGTAGTAAGTCTTACCTCTCGGTTTTCTTTTCGCCAGGAGTAGTTTCCTTCTTTTTATTTTGGTTGGCATTTTTAGCCAAAAGTTTCTTGGCACGATCAAAAGCATTTTGCTTGCGAATACCGCCGCCGCCCTGCTTTTGCGGGGGCTTGGGACCACCAGTGGCGCCACGATTTTGGAAGCCTCCCTGGCCACGACGGTTATTGAGACGATTGCCAGCACCGCCGCCGCGATTGACCATCTTTTTTATAAGGTTTATTAATCGTATTTGAAGGGGGTGATGGATTAAGTTAACATGGATTAACAATATCATTAATTGATATTTTAATTTTTTGTTCGATTGAAACACATATATATATATATCACAAGACATCGAGATAATCGAGAAGCGAACCGAGACAATATATGGCAGTGGGCCATTTACAAAATGTGTGTGAGGGGGCAATGGAAAGATCCGATTTTTGGGATTGTTACAGAGAATATAGTACACAAGGTTGGGCAAAAACATTGGCATATATATATAATATATTATTATTGTGGTCGGTCAGATCGGCGGGGCAGTTGCGGTGGCCAATCAGTCGACGGGGATAGTAGTTGCGATATATATTCAATACAATATATATATTCGGGCAGTTGAAGTCGTTGGCATTTTGGTGGCGGCGAGTGGCATATATTATTATTATTTGAAAATGGAAATCGGATTCAGATTCAGAGGCAGGAACGTCGAAAAAAGAATTGCATTTTGCGATGAATTTTGGCATTATAGAACATAAGATATTACAGGATATTAACACATTATTGTATTTGGATTTAAGATGTATATAGTTGCACCATCAAGCAGTACCAGTACCAGATCGGATCGGTTTTCGGTTTCAGAGCAGAGCAGATTAGAAGTGAATCAGCATTGCAATCAATATCAAGTGGCGTCGCACGGGAATCGTATATAGTAGTATACATATATCGGTAGTAGCATCGTTGTTGAAGAGGTATATATATATATATCACATATTTCATATATTGTTGCGTCACATGTTGTGCATCGTTCGTGTGTGTGTGTGTGTGCGCGCGCATGTTGCATTTTAATATTTTTTTTTAATAAATATATATTTTTTATTTAGCCGTCAATGAAATTTTATTTGAAAGAATTGACATCAACGGCAACAACAACAACAGCAGCAGCCACAACAACAACAACAACAACGAGGAGGAACAGCAGCAACAATAACAACGACAATGATATGCCGGAGCAGTAACAACAATTTGGATTTGGAATGCATTTTTGTATTTGTTGTTTTTTTTTTGTTTTTTGAAATATGCGACGATGCATTATATTTGGTATTCGATATTCGATATTTATAGTTTTTATTGGAAAAACCATCGAATTTTTGAGTTTCGCATTTGTTTTTGGAGTTTTTGGAAGAGAGAATAAAAATAGATAATTGGTAAATTAGAAAAATTGTTGTGAAAATTGTTTGAGGGGAATCCGGCCAAAAAAAAGTTGTTTGGCTTGGCATCGGATTTTCGAATAATATGAAATACAAAAAATTAAATATGGTAAAAAGGTAATTAAATGCTTAAATACATCTAGAGAATTACTTATGATTCAATATTGTAATATATAGATCATCATCATCAATCATACTCTTCATCGTTAATAGAACAAGTGTTGGCGGTACATGTTTTAAAGGTACATCGTTGTCTTATATAAAATCGGTATATAATTTATATATATTTATTGTAATTGTGCAGTTTCCTTTGGAACGAAAAACAAAAGTTGCATTTTTAAATGGAACAAATGCGTTTTTATATTGAAAACCTTAAACTTCCTTTTATCCTTTCAGCACAATATAACTGATTAGTCTTTCTTATTTTTTTTTATAAAAAATTCTCATTTTCGCACAATAATTAAAAAAAAATAAAGTAAATATTGGTTAGATTGTCATTGTTGGTTTTTGGTTGGTTTTAGTAAACTACAAACTACTTTGTTGGTTTATCACCTAAAGGGAAAAGCATTAACTACGTTTGGCAATTAAACTAAAAACAAAACGCAGAGGCAATTATTTCTGTTGTGGAGTGCAATCTTCAAGATAAAATATTATTGGAGATGTTTTTTTAAAACAATCCTCACAGCATCTCCTCAGCAAAAAATCGATTCGCTTAACGAATCTAAAATTAACAACAAAGGCGATTTAATAATTTAATTCTGTTTTTGGCATTTATGGAATATTATTTTTAATTAAACTTTTTGTACATACCGGCCCAGCACGCTGATTGCGGTTTCCCATGCCACCACCGCCGCGTGGCAAGTCCAGGAGCGAGGGTGGATTCTGGTTCCGGAACAAGTTGTTAAGCAAGTTATTGGCCAGGTTAATGGCCTGGGCGTTCATCTGCCCACCGCCCTGGCGCATATTGTTGCCGAATTGGCCGCCGCCGGGATTCTGGGATTCCCAGGGTGACATGTTCATGCCACCCATACGATTGGCGCCCATGGGTCCGCCGTAGTTGTTGTTGCCGCCGCCAAAGTTGCGGTTGCGGTTCTGGTTTCCACGGAAAGCCATATTACCGTCTGTTTTTTGATTTTTGACTCCAAGTGAATTGGCTGATCGATTCTGATTTCCGTTGACCTTGACGCTGGAAAATGGAAAGAAAATAATTAATATTTTTAATCGATGTACTTGTAAGGGTGGAAGTAGTAAGGGTGCTAATGCGCTGCATACCTGACCATAATTTTGATGGGTGGTTTAGGGATTGGGGGTTGTTGGATGTGATATATGGTTGAGATGGGTGTTTGGATTTAAGCGAGAAAATTGCCTAAAAGCTGAAAATAAAACGGCACAAAACGAAAAAAAAAGAACGATACAAATTTTGTGAGCAAGCGTGGGGTTAATGGGGGGTAAATACTTGGTTATATGGGTGGTTAGATATGCAGTTAGTAGGATCACTTCTATAAGGTTGGTGTTAATGGACTCTTTCCGCCCGCTGCGTGCGTATACATACACACACACACATACTCCAGCGATGAAAGAAAGATACGGGAAGAGAAGAAAAGAAATGGGTACAAATTTGGCGCTGGCGTCAGCAGTTCACAATGAAACTGGTTTTTGTAACCCCTCTTAGTTAAAGATATAATTTTATCATGTATTGTAACAACAAAGACTGCAAAATATGTATGTATACGCAGTTTGTCACAAAAAAAAAACCAAAATGGCCGACATCTGTGTGTGTGTGTATGCGTACATTAATGAAAATGCCGGCCGGGGCTCATGCAGGCAAGTGCGAACAGAAATAAAAACTACAAATTGCTAGCAAAAATAAATAATATTTAATAATAATTTATCTAACATTCAGACTCTGAGTCATTGAAGGAAATTTCGAGAAAGTATCTTTCCTAGAATATCTATTATTTCAAAGATAATGAGAGAGCGGGACCCCCCACCATGTGGGCTCATTAAACTTTTGAAAAAAAGAGAAGAGCGCACTCGAATACACATAATATCATTACGCTATCTAAAAATATCACCAGCAAGTCCCCTTTTAAAATCAATAATTACTATTTTCGGGTTCCCGGGGCGGCAGTAAAAGGAAAAAATCACCAACAGATACATACACACTAAGAACTTCCGCAGCAGCGACTACAACACACAATTCTACAGAAAGCAAAACGCGAAAACTACAGAAATACTATTTATTATTTATGTTGGAGGAACTTACGTTGTCAATTTATGAGCTATTGCACTGGAACTGGTATCTGGGGAACTGCGAGTTGCTAATAAATTTCACAATTCACAAGCTACTAATTTTTTCTGTCCTGTTTTCCACAATATGGCCGCCGACTGTGAAAATTAGAGATGAGATGAGACAAAAAATCGATTATTTCCTTTAATAAGTGTGACCAAATCATAATACTGTTGGCAACACTAAAAATAAAAAACAATCGGGCGACAAAATACGAATCGGTCAAAACTATACAATGGATATAATATTTTTTGTTTAATTTCAATTAAAGAAGTAGCTTCCGTCGTAGCCATCGCTGTGGCTCATATTGTCCATTTCATACATTTTCGGAAATTTGAAGGGGATCCCCTAGAAAATTTTGAAAAAAATCTCAAAAATATTTTGTTGCCAGGTTTTGATGTAGCTTTGTAGAGAATCAATCCACAAATCGTTTAAGGTATTCCGTTTTGAAATCGGATGAATATTGACAGAGATATAGCCTTTGCAGTGGCTCATATTGTCCTTTTCAAACATTTTCGGAAATTTGAAGGGGATCCCCTAGAAAATTTAAAAAAAAATCTCAAAAATATTTTGTTGCCAGGTTTTGATGCAGCTTTGTAGAGAATCTATCCACAAATCGTTTAAGGTATTCCGTATCTCAAAAATATTTTGTTGCCAGGTTTTGATGCAGATTTGTCAAGAATCTGTCCAGAAATCATTTAAGGTATTCCGTTTTGAAATCGGATGAATATTGGCAGAGATATAACCTTCGCTGTGGCTCATATTGTCCATTTCATACAAAAATATTTTGTTGCCAGGTTTTGATGTAGCTTTGTAGAGAATCAATCCACAAATCGTTTAAGGTATTCCGTTTTGAAATCGGATGAATATTGACAGAGATATAGCCTTTGCAGTGGCTCATATTGTCCTTTTCAAACATTTTCGGAAATTTGAAGGGGATCCCCTAGAAAATTTAAAAAAAAATCTCAAAAATATTTTGTTGCCAGGTTTTGATGCAGCTTTGTAGAGAATCTATCCACAAATCGTTTAAGGTATTCCGTATCTCAAAAATATTTTGTTGCCAGGTTTTGATGCAGATTTGTCAAGAATCTGTCCAGAAATCATTTAAGGTATTCCGTTTTGAAATCGGATGAATATTGGCAGAGATATAACCTTTGCTGTGGCTCATATTGTCCATTTCATACATTTTCGGATTTCCCAGAAGCTTGTCTGAAGTTTTTATAGTTTTCCAAGACCATGTAGACTCCTTATTCCAAATTTGAAGGGGATCTCCAGAAAATTTTGAAAAAAATCTCAAAAATATTTTGTTGCCAGGTTTTGATGCAGATTTGTAGAGAATCTATCCACAAATCGTTTAAGGTATTCCGTTTTGAAATCGGATGAATATTGGCAGAGATATAGCCTTCGCTGTGGCTCATATTGTCCATTTCATACATTTTCGGAAATTTGAAGGGGATCTCCAGAAAATTTTGAAAAAAAATCTCAAAAATATTTTGTTGCCAGGTTTTGATGCAGATTTGTAGAGAATCTATCCACAAATCGTTTAAGGTATTCCGTTTTGAAATCGGATGAATATTGACAGAGATATACCCTTCGCTGTGGCTCATATTGTCCATTTCATACATTTTCGGAAATTTGAAGGGGATCCCCTAGAAAATTTTGAAAAAAATCTCAAAAATATTTTGTTGCCAGGTTTTGATGCAGCTTTGTAGAGAATCTATCCACAAATCGTTTAAGGTATTCCGTTTTGAAATCGGATGAATATTGGCAGAGATATAGCCTTCACTGTGGCTCATATTGTCCATTTCATACATTTTCGGAAATTTGAAGGGGATCCCCTAGAAAATTTTGAAAAAAATCTCAAAAATATTTTGTTGCCAGGTTTTGATGCAGCTTTGTAGAGAATCTATCTACAAATCGTTTAAGGTATTCCGTTTTGAAATCGGATGAATATTGGCAGAGATATAGCCTTCGCTGTGGCTCATATTGTCCATTTCATACATTTTCGGAAATTTGAAGGGGATCCCTAGAAAATTTTGAAAAAATCTCAAAAATATTTTGTTGCCAGGTTTTGATGCAGCTTTGTAGAGAATCTATCCACAAATCGTTTAAGGTATTCCGTTTTGAAATCGGATGAATATTGGCAGAGATATAGCCTTCGCTGTGGCTCATATTGTCCATTTCATACATTTTCGGAAATTTGAAGGGGATCCCTAGAAAATTTTGAAAAAAATCTCAAAAATATTTTGTTGCCAGGTTTTGATGCAGCTTTGTAGAGAATCTATCCACAAATCGTTTAAGGTATTCCGTTTTGAAATCGGATGAATATTGGAAGAGATATAGCCTTCGCTGTGGCTCATATTGTCCATTTCATACATTTTCGGAAATTTGAAGGGGATCCCCTAGAAAATTTTGAAAAAAATCTCAAAAATATTTTGTTGCCAGGTTTTGATGCAGATTTGTAGAGAATCTATCCACAAATCGTTTAAGGTATTCCGTTTTGAAATCGGATGAATATTGACAGAGATATACCCTTCGCTGTGGCTCATATTGTCCATTTCAAACATTTTCGGATTCCCCAGAAGCTTGTCGGAAGTTTCTATAGTTTTCCAAGACCATGTAGACTCCTTATTCCAAAGTGAACTACAATAAAACCAACTACCAATAACCATAAAACAGTACAAGAAAAAACCCAGATCCTTTTTGAATGACATCATCCGATTTTTATTGAATTTGCATAAAACTGGCGCAGCTATTGCGACTCTGCGCCCTTGCAGATGCAATGCACTCGCATCGATTGATTTACATACAAAGGGTTAAACGTATTAATCATAAACGTTATAATAGGCAATAATCATATGTACTAGCAATAGTTGGTTTTGTGATTTAGCATTCGTATTACTGCTGGCTTTTGTGTAGTTAATTAATTAAGTACCACAGCGTAAAGTAGGCTCAACAAAAAAATATGGTTGTGACATATTTTCATTTACTACTTTTCGTATTTTTCTTTTTTTTTAATGTTTTTTTTTGGTGATGGTTTTGTGTCTTTGTGTTTCAAGTGCAAGGGGCGCCAATAAATGGCCTAAAAGGGGGAATTTTTGGAGGGTGAGAGTTTACCATATACATTCACATACATTTACATTTAGAATCGATCTGGATGCAGACAAGGGAGCTGTTGCCTCTCACTAATCAACACATATAGATAAAGGACATTATGCTACATTTATCTGGATTTGTGGACTAAGTTGCGCTATTTAACATAGTAACTAGAGAAAACCCTAAACAGTCCTTGCTACATGGTTTTCAAACAATACTTTTGGATTTTTGAAACATTTCTAAACATATTTGCATTTTTAAATGAGAAATGGTTTTAAAAAACGGCGCAAAAAAATAAAATATTCTGTTACATTTAACATGACTGAGTTATAGAAACATTATTTAAGATTTCAATATAAAAGAAACATTCAAATTTTGAATATTATTTTTTGTCAATCAGAATAATTTTTCGTAAGGACTGTTAAGTGGTTGTCTTAACTTCTCCAGACTGAGTTCACATGGGTTCTGGTTGGTTTTTGTGTGCGCCGATTTAGGGGGATTTTGAGGTGATGGGATCGGGTAAGAATCCAGCTTTCTGGTCACCCACAACGTATATACACGGCAGCTGCCTCCAGGGGAGTAGCCACCTCCTGGTGCGTTTAGTAGAAGAAGAGCAGCCGCTCCTGGGCGGAGGCGGATAGAAGGCGCCATGACCTCTTGATGCTCACATACTGAATCAAAGCGCGTATGCTGATAAGGAAGCCAAAGGCACAGATCAGCCACCAGAGCCAGGAGTTCTCGTGCGATGCCAGGTCCGTCGAGTGTTTAACGATCAACGTCCACTTGGCCAGCGACAGTCCAAAGCCGGATAACGCTCCGTATCGGGCGGCAATCGTGTGACAGAAACAGGTAAGCATCAGGAAGCCAATCCAGTTGAACAGAAAAGCCACAATGAAAGCTGTGATGAACATGATGTCTGTGCCCAGCAAGTTATCTGTTGTGGACAGGCTGTTTTCGGCGTCACTGGCATCGATCGCGATAAAGGTCAGCGCCGGTTGAGCGGATCGTACAGCTCCGGTCCCATCACGCAGCGGATTGGGCGGCAGCAGTGGATTCGGCGGCGGCGGCAGCTGCTGGGACGATGGCAGCGTCAAAAAGGCGGGCGGCAGCTCTCCGTTCAGCGACTTTTCCATCTGCACCTCCTCGTAGGTCGGCAGCTTTCCGTGCAGTTCCTGTGGCAGCTGGGCAGTCATCATCTCCTCTTGACCGGGTAGTTGCACCTGCATTTGAATGGGGATCTGGCCGGGATCGGTAGGGGCCACAGTTAGGGCGGGCATTTGGGGCGGCAGGACTACCTGCTGACTGGTCGCCTCATAGGGCGGCGGAGCACTGAAGTCTGCCTTGGGGGGTCCCAGTTGATCATCCCCAGGAGAAGGTTGGTTGTTGTGCGGCATGCCTGCAAAGGGAATAAGGGGATAAGATATCATCTTTAACTATTTCTTTAAAACTTTACCTAAGAAGTTAAATCCTTAGGACCTCAAATAGACAGCAACTGAAACAAGAAATAGGAAACATAAATTAAATAAAATGTACTTTAAAAAATATATATAATTCTTATTTCTAAATACTTTACTTTTTATGAAAAATAAAACTCTGTTTAATTAGTTTAGTGGTCGGTTTTATTAACGTAATAGGTCACGTATCGTTTTAATAAAGTTAGGAGTGTATAATAAATAAATGGGGCGGCTAGCTGCCGAAATTGCATTGCATTACATCTAAATTATTTTTTGTCTCCCCGTCTCGTTGGGGAGCAATCAGTTTTCGTTCGTTAATACTTGGTCTAAAGTTCGGTTTTAGAGGCTCATAAGTGAGCACTTAAGACTAAAGCAATCGTTCAAAAATAGTTAAAATAAACAGTTGGACATGTTAGACATTAAAAAACAAACAGCTGACAGGCTTATTGGTTAGTTGCAGTGCCTGGGGCGATTGGCTTGTCGATGGGCCTCCTCCAAGGTCATAATCTGGCATGGACCGAACGGCCGTCTCACTGAACGCAGCGGCTTCAGACCGTCCACCTCGTCCATGCCATCGTTCTGGAATCCTCCATCTACGGTGGTGGTGGTTCTGGTGATGGTGCTATCTTGCAGCTTCTGCTTTTGCAATTTCTCGTGACGCAAATACAAAATGACGCAGCACATGGCCATGAAGAGCAACGCTAGTGTGGCTCCACTAACGATGCTGGCCTTCTCCAGCATCACCCGATTCCTGGTGGGCAGATAGGACCCATCGATTTCCTTATATTCGCATCGTTGACCCGTAAACCCCAACGGGCACTCGCAATTGTACAGAATCTCATTCTGTATCTCCACCGTGAAACAGGTGGCATCGTTCATGCAATACCAGGCGGCATATGTCGGCGGACAGGCGTAGATCGGAAAGGTGACATTCGGTCGGGGCGTTGTGGACGACACCTCAACATTGTCCGGCGGCAGGATCGGTGCAGCTGTGGGACGCGGCTTAGCGATGGCTCGCGACGAGCAGGCGATGGCAAGCGGCAGAAAAGCGATTGCTAGCAGCAGGTCCTGAAGCCTCATCTTCATACTGTGGTTTAACTCATACTTGGAATGTGGTGCGAGTGTGAAGTGTTTTCTGTTTCTGAATATTCTGAATATGGCTTTGGCTGACTGGCGGTGCTGCAAAACAAAAACGAAGTGCAATTAAAATCAAAACTCAAGAATGTTAACTGGTGTGTGTGTGTTTGTGTGTGTGTGTGTGTGGGGGGGGGGTTAATTGCCTGCCACCTGCCATCTGCCTACCACCGCCAGTCGCCTTCCTCTGCCACCTCCTTCTTCTCTTTCAACCCAAAACCTAACAAGAAACAGAATCAAGAATCAGAAAATCGAATTTCATAAATTTTTTAACACAAATTTTCATCGTTTATTTACCTGGCCAAGCTGTTGTTGTTTTTGCATTTGCATTTGCAGTAGCTTTGTTTTTCTTTTCAGGTTGACACACTCACTTGACGAAAAGTTCACTAGAAACACTTCAATATGCGAACTTTTCCGATTCAATCAATAATAATTCAAATCAAAATATGAACTCAACCCAATGAGGTCAAGTTTTTCGTTAATTAAACATGCAACTGATTCTCAGAGGAAGTACTTTCCATTTATTTTTGTTTTAAATTAATCAGAAACTGATTATTCAGCTTAACGTATCAGTTTCTTGTTAAAAACAAACAATTCTATTATTTAAACAAAAATATGCAATGTGAGTGGGCATGCAAAGTAAAATAAATTATTTTCCGCTTTGAAATTAAATCAAATCAATAAAGTAAGTTTTTTAATAAACATTTATTTATTTTTATTTATTTCCCAGCCCTAGCAACTAGTCACTTTTCTAGACCACCTCCCTGTGTTAGTAACTTTCGTCACTTATATTCCCGAGTCCTTGACATTTAACATCACAACGTGCTACATATAGTTAATGGGAATTTTTTCCGCGAAACTGTCAGAGTTTCACAAAACAAATAAATGTGTAATATATTTTAGAGTACCTGCATGCATTTATAAATAATTAAAAAATACGCACGAGTGAAAGTTGACAGCTGAAAAGGTAACGAAGACTGACAGTCAGGAGAATAACAGTAGGTAGAGATATAGAAATAGATATATAGAGAACACACACAAGGCACAAAAAGTCAATCAGGTTGACCTTTCGGTCAATTGAAATGAAAAATGTTGAAAAAAGCAAAGAATTTAAATAGTTTGAGCCAATCAGGCAAGGAATTGCGTGAGAGAAGAGGGCCAGGCCCAGGTTATGCTATGCAAATTAGTACACAGAAAAATAAGGTTTTTAAAAATGATATAAAATAAACATTATTGATTTTCAAGAAAAAAGAAAAAAAATGTCTTTAGAAGTAGAAATATTTTCAAAGTTTAAAATATAACATTTTACAATTTTTCTATTTATTATAGAATTTGTCTTTGTTTTATTTAAGCCTCTTAGAATTTTTTAAAGGTTCTATAGATGAAATATAGAATTCTATAAAACTGAACACAAATAAATTTTATTGAAGAGATAATAAAAATTAATGACTTTCCAGGAATTTAGAATAATTAAAGTCTAACATATTTTTCTTAAGAAATATGATTATTCCTGCAGTAAAAAATATAACATTTTAATCTTTTTATTAAAAATTTGAACATTTTCTTTAGAAAATGATAAGAGATTTATAAAATCGTATTTTTGAACAGTGCATGGAAATGCCTACCATTTATGTCTCGGTAGGTTAATGTGTGGGTGATCCGGTGTTATAGGCAGGGCAGTAGCTAGAGCCTCGGGGGCCCTGGGGCAACAAGTAAATTTGGGGCCCCCTATACGGAAGTCTTTTGCCCCGGCGGGGCCCCTTCCCTTCGGGGGCCCTGGGGCACCGCCCCACCTGCCCCATGCTAGCTACGGCCCTGGTTATAGGCCACTTGAATAATGATCTAATAGACGGAAATGAGCTCAATGGGACCCTGGGGACTTATCAAGAGCCGCCCTCCGCGAAAAGGGAAAACAAAGAGCGATAATAGTGTTGAAAGATACAGAAAGATAAGGTGCCGAATGCCATCCACAAGTGTGGAACGTCAATATGATAACTACAGTTACCTGTCTAAGGTGACTCAGATGGATTTGAAATATTGCAAAATTGCACGAAATCTAGAGATATATGGTACAGTAAAAACACCTTGATATTAAATATTTTTATTTAAAATTTAATATTTTCAAATAAATTAAAAAAAACAGTTAAAGGCAAATCTCAGAAGACTTCTGAAGGTAAGAAAGAAATCCATTGTAGCCAGGTTCTACTGTGAATGCATGTGCGTGTGTGTATGTCGGAGAAGGTGTAGGGAGATATGGCGCGGGAGGCGTAAGAGAGAAAGCAACAGGGCCGCAACAAAAGGCGTTGAAAATTAGCGAATACCTGTGGAAAAGTAAAAAGTAACAACGCAGTTTAGGCCAGGTTTCGGTTTCTGAGTTTCTGCCGACAGCCGTGTGGGTACGTTGATAAGAAATTTGAGCGCGTGGACAGCTGCCAGGGCAGGTGCGATGAGAGCGAATGAGACAGCTGAACACAGAGCACTGCAGCAGCTGCCCCTGGATGTGGGAAACCAGTTAAACGGGACGTGGAACAGAAATAAAATGCAGAGAGATGAAGATGCAAGCGGAAGAAGAAGCCGAATGAATGAAATCTTAAGGGGCCGTTTCCGTCTTGCGTCTGAATGAGAAAAACAGAAAAGAGAATAGAATAGAGAGGAGGATATGGGAGCCAAAGCTAGAGAACAACTGCAGGCCAGAACAAGTTTCTAAGCAAACATCAGCGTCTGGTGTTATTGTTATTGTACAAGGGCAAATGAATTAATTTACTTGAATAAATATGAATTAAACAAACAAGTACACACAAGTAGCACACAAAGGCCAGAGTTATCACGGTGTGCACTGTTTTTTTTTTATTTTTTTTTAGCACCTGAGTGCTGAAATCCCACTGGAATTAAGATTATTAATTTTCTAAACAAAACATAAACACATACATACACACACACATACACACATAAGAGCCTGACGGGTGAAAGAGAGGGGGCGGTGAGAGTTCTCCTGGAGCTCCTTGGGCCATTAATACCGCTCCTCGCCTCACCCGCCTCTTCTCACCCGCCCCCTGCCCTTTTTCTTTTCTATTTCTGTGGCTCGAATTGAATTCGAATTGATTCTGCTAGCCATGTTCTATTTATTCACCTTTTTTTTTTTCTTCTCCTATGCGTTGGTCGATTGCTTGGGTTTTCTCTTTTGCGCAGCGCTCTCACGGTTTTATTGATTTGCCCCACAAGTTATTGCTGTTGCTGTTGCTGTTGCCAAACACTCGCACAGGTAATACTGTTTGGTTTTTCGGCGACGCGATTCGTTGACTCGTATGCAGTTGGCAGTTGGAGTGTGGATTAATAATTGCTTTAATTTTTCACCGCGAGCGAAGCAAAACAAAAAAAACTAGGGACGTTGAAAGTATTAGGGTTGTTGATAATATATTTAACTATCAATATATCGATAGTCGAGGTAGAAACATCGGACAAGGAGTTTGCCTAAATATCGTTAGAATGGTTCGTGTCTTGGCTAAACAGGGTGCCGCATCGATAATCCCATCTCTAGCTTAAGAAAATTGTAAACACGACGTGGACTTGGAGTAATTATTAGAATTTAGCCAAAATAATGCAACAAATCATAGCAATTTTCTTGCTGGCGCTTGGTGTAAGCTGATAAAGTTGAAAAATCACAAAACCATACAACTTGTAAATTTCAGTGCCAGCAAATTCATGCCGAGCTGACGGCCGCCGACTGCCGGGAACTGGGATTCATAAAAGCCCAGTTGATGTGCTCCAGTTGTGATAAATTGGATGACTTTGGTTTGGAGGCGATCAAGTAGGTAACCTGCTTATTATTTTACCGCTCAGTTCTAATATTGTGTCCTTAGGCCCCATTGCAAACAATGCTGCACTTTGGATCAGCAGCCAGCCGCCCAGAGGACCTATGCCAAGGCCATTTTGGAGGTCTGCACCTGCAAGTTCCGTGCCTACCCGCAAATCCAGGCCTTCATCCAGAGCGGCCGACCCTCCAAGTTCCCCAACCTGCAGATCAAGTACGTGAGAGGCTTGGATCCAGTGGTTAAGCTGCTAGATGCCAGTGGCAAGGTCCAGGAGACACTGTCCATCACCAAATGGAACACGGACACTGTCGAGGAGTTCTTTGAAACGCATTTGGCCAAGGAGGGCGGTGGCAAGAGCTCGTACAGTGTGGTAGAGGATGCCGACGACGATGACGAGGAGGATTACTTGCGCACCAACAGGATCTGAAATTATCATTCCCTAAAATAGGTAGATTAATAAAATTCTCAAACTCCAACACGAACTGGTACTATCTTGATATAATATTCTGAAATTAAAGGAAATTAATTAAAGTAATTTCCCATCTAAACTCGATCTTCAAATACAGTTTCAGAGGAACTTTAAAGGGAGCTTTTTTGAGCGCCAGTTGGAAAGCTCTTGGCACAGTTTGAAAATTTAGGTGACATTTCTACTGCAATGCGACGCCACGATAGCCACGGAAGATCTTGATTCATAAATAAAATTCGTATTCACACGCCTTATTTTGTTATTTCGTTATCGATTGGAGAGGAAAGTTCCCGGTGGCGGATATTCAGCGACAACAATGTCTGGCCATTGTCAGTAAGTGACATGGGAATTCTTATCATTGGGGGGGAGTACCAACAGAACCCCCCCTTAAGAACACATCAGTTGTGACGTAGTGAGCTCACATGGTCTTCAAGTTGGTTAATATTTGATCAGCCTGTTGGAGTAATTGTGGTAACTGAAATAGCAAATACATACATACATATCACATTAACACGCGCCAAAATCGTATCTGATATCTATTTCCGATGTGTGACGCAGCCTTGACACCGCTTCCCCTCAATGGGATCTCACTTTCGATCCAAGAACTCTTAAGGTTTATTTAGAAAAGATAATAAATTTAAGGATATAATAGTTATAAGTATGTATGTCCCCTTATTGAAATTTGAAGTTCTCGGTCTTGTCTTTAAATCCCTGAACTTCATATAGGTATATTGTCTATATAGTCATATAGTATATGATCCTTTATTAAGCATAGAAGATAGTCTTCTCTTAAAGTCCCTCAACCTTTTATATTTCCATCTATCAGTATATAATAGTCTTAATCCCTAGTCCTAATCTCATCCCTAAACCCTTTCTTTTTCAATTTTTTAAAGCTTTTGTATTAATTATTCCAATAATTATTGAAAAAACTAATTGGGAATCTAACATCACCCATTTCAGTGGAGGAAATTCCGGATCACTGAGCACGTTGGCAAATATAATTGTTGTTAAGTTTTGTGCACAATCACCTGTTTACCTTCCATTACAATGCATTTTTCTTGATAATATTTTTTCTTCAAGCTCCCAGCTCCCAGCCAGCAGCTGTTGCAGTTGTTTCTCTTTCTTGTTTTTGTTCAAGTACTTTTTCATTGGACCCTTTGAAGGGGGGAGACTCTACCCTTTTGCCCGGCCTGCCCTTGAAGGCATCCAATGCATCCAACCATAAATACATGTGCCAATCCAATCTCTAACGTCAATACGCCTCTGATGCGTATGAGTTATTTTTAGCAGCTGCTATCACACGCAGACCCACACTTATATGTATGTAAGGGTGTATGTACGTCTGTGTGGACATAGGGATATGGCACGCACTGTAGGGTGTATGACCCACCCTAGAAACCTAAACTAAGCTCTTTTTTTTTGGGAGAAATACTGCATTCTGCTTAACTGCATACCATTTTATTAAATATTTCCAAATTGATGAATTTATTTATTCATAAATGGCGATTTGTCTATCTTGGCAATCAATAGAGGAGCCCTGTAATCAATACTAATTATTTGCTATTATGATTACTCCCACACAACTACACAAAATAGCAATGACACACACATACATAAGGGGTATGAATTACAATTGGATTCAGAGAATCTTTCGAGTTCTTATCAATTGTGTGCCATATAAGCAAGCGGGGTGCATTCAACTGCCCTGTGTTGCAAAAACTATACAGATTATATATATATGTATCTATATGTATGTGTATATATGGTATAGTGTTGGTCGCCAAACTAGGAGAATAATGAAACTATATTTTAATTGACTCAAGAGGGTTTATATATGTATATTTCAATTTAATAAAATTTATTATTAAAAATATTAAAGAATTTATATATTTTCATATTAAAAATATTAAAATTTCATTTTAAAAAATTCTATGAATTTCTATTTCTATGAATTTACCAAAGTTAGTATACTCCAAAGAGTGGCCATATCCCTATAGAACAGATGGGTGGGCTGGCGGAGGCAGTAAGGGGAGGCAAGGCCCCCTGGAGAGCAGAGAACGGACGGATGCCGAGCGTTGTGCTGAATAATATCGGCCGATTCTGATTCGGATTGTGTGTATTTGAATCTGTTGTTGTTCCTTTCGTTCGCCCGCTGATAACATTTGCGCCTTTGAGTGGCTTGGCATTGATAACGGTAATGACGTTATTGTAACGCCGTCATCACTATAAACATTTTCCGGTAACAGAAAACCAACACACACACACATACACACACCTAATCACATTTCAGGCCATTTTAGCACTCAATTAAGGTATAACATGAACTGAAAATAATAATAATAAACAACAACAATTGCTCAGCATTTCGGTTTTTGGCACTTTCCAGTAAGTACAGTCGAACCCCACGAAAGATGTTTCACTCTTGCCGCCACCATTCGACCTCTGCTAACATTATAATTAAACATAAAGTGTGAAATGTAAACATAAACAACAATAAAAGCCAGCGAAAACATTTCAATTAAATACTCGGCTTTTTATATTTTATTCGGAAACTGGAAGACGAGTTTCAACTGTAGTTTGGGGAGGTTGTTGGGGTTGGAACACTGGAAAAATATTCATTTACTATCGGTAGGATTTATTTTGAGGTTGGGTGATTAAGTTTGTTTTTAAAAAAATCATTTTTAAATAGGTTACGAGATCTAACACAATGTTTTTAAGTCAGAATATTCAGTTTTTTTTGACCAACAAATTATTTCAGATAAATAATGCATTAAATGGATAGCTTTTTTCATCTTGTAGATAAAAATAAATGTTAAAAAATAGTAAAAATGATTTTTTTATAAAATTTTTTTACACAAATGAGCAAATATTTGTAAAACTACATACCTAAATACTCGGCTTTCTTTTTATGGACTTATGGGGCATGTTTGAACTTGTTCCGACATTTTATAGAATGTTTTCAGGTCGAAATATTCAGTATATTCAGTATTTTTGACTCAGAAAACAGTTGATACAAAACGACTTAAAATAGTAGGTTTTTTTATTTAAACTTATGGGATAAAAAAAATAGGAAAATTTTTGTTAAAATACTATTTTACAAAGTTTAGAAAAAACCGTTAAAACTTCATCCTGTAAACTTGGGGACATAATTCAACATGTTCCGACATGTTTCACAATGTTTTCTTGTTGGTATATTCAGTATTTTTTACCCAAAACGATACAAAATGGCTAAAATATACTGTTTTTTAGAAAAATATGTTAAATTAAAGCAGTGGTCGGCACCCCAATACATTGATATGATTTTACCGCATTAGTGTTAGTAACGAATACAGAAACACAGAAATACAGTAACAGAAAGTAGGCTGTGAGCATGACGTTTCACACATTTATACTGTGTGTGTGTGGCAGAGCTCGGGCAGAGAAATTTCCTATGCCCCCGAGATAGGGCCGTGCCGACCTCTGATAAGTAAGTAATAATAGTTAGTTTTCTTCGTGTGGATCTGTGGAGGCTGCCCTTTACCGTTAGCTGATATAAAGCCTCCCACGCCCGCCACCCCACCAGCTTGCTCTCTCCGCTCTCTTGCTTAGAAGCTAATGGCCGTAAAGATCGAAAACTTGATTTTGGAATGGCAAGGTGCCTAGTTCTATGTGCTCTTCTGGTTGTTTTATTTGCTAACCCCGAGCCCGAGCTGACGTCTTACGCATTTCTGTGGATATCTTGGCTGTTGTTTGGCGGCACACATGTTCAAATATGTACTGAGCGGTGTTGGGGATACAAAAGGGTGCCTGGAAGTTATAGATTTCTTTGATTCATATTGTAGTAGAGTCGTCCGTGTCCATTCCAGTTATTCAATTTGCCGCATTGAACTTTGAATACTAAATATAGCGCGAACTGCGCCGTGCTTATTAACAAAACTACACAAACACAATTAGATGTTGTTCGAAGAGAGCGCCAACTAGACCCAGAGAGAGCAAATGATTATTTTATAAAAAATATATATATTATTTTTTTTAAATAAATTTACATAATTATACGTGCAATTATTCGTACACCCAGCTATGCACTCGCCCGCCCACGTAATCGCGTATTTTGGAATAAACCACCTGTTGGATGGATTACACTTGAAATAAATTCTAGAGCTTTCGTTTTTTCTGGACTTTAAAATCAAATTTAAGATTTATTTGAAACAAATAACTGTGTTATTACATTGAATATAATCTTATGGCTTATTTTTATCGGATCTATGGTCTCCAATATCCGATCTCCGATCTCCTCCGGTGTTGATGTACCGCACTTGTTTCTCACATTTAACTTAATAAATGTAATTATATATATTACATACACAATTTAATTTAATTTAATAGTATCGTTTATAATTAGCATTTCTCTCTGACTTAACTAGTATTATTATGTTTTTTTTTTTTGTAATTATGTTATAACACACAAGTGTTATCAATCTTAAGTTGTTTTCTTTTTTTGCGCGCGTTTCCCACATAAATTACATTATTAATTATTAATTACATTTAAATGTTTTGTTTTTTGTTTCTTTTTCTTCGCTTTTTTGTGTCGCTTTTTTTCGATTTTTTTTATTACCTCGTCTCATTTAAGTTTAGTTTATAACTAGAGTTTACATCGATAATTAAAAAAAGGAAATCTATTTGTTGGGGGCTGTTTGTATGTATGTATTAGCAAAAAACATTATCTCACTAATATTTAATTTTTTTTATTCCAATATTACGGATAGTTGTGTATATTTATAGAATTTCTGGTACTCGAATAAAATTAATAAAAATTTTCTTTTGCACTTTTGAAGCTTTTTTTGTAATTTTTATTCATTTTTTTTTTACCATTATTTTGTTATAATTATTAAGTAGAATTAAGACTCAATTATTTATGCAGTGTTTGTATTATTTATAAACAGTATATATTATATATATGTTGGTTTCAGGATCGCCCTATCCTAGCTATTTCCATTCTCTTTATTGTGGTTGCAGGCCATAAAGCTTTCTTTGATTTGACTCTTAAATAGTGTAAATATTTTATGTTTTAAAAATAAAAACAAACGGATTTAAGTAGGTATTATATCTCGATCGATCGGGGATATTGTAGATTGTGGTAAGTAGTCGTAATTCCATGCTCGGATAGTTAAGTGTTTTTTTTTGGAAAACGTTTTGTTGGAAAACCCTATCTACTATGTATATGTATTTAAAGATTTGTAAAAAATTCCTTTAATTCTTGAGTTATTCTTTTGAGTTCGATTTTGATTCTTGATGGTTTTTTTTCGTAAAATTTGTCGAAACAGGACCCTCCCAAAGGAGACCCTCCTGTACTTGTGCCTGGACTATCATTTATATATGTATGGTTAGATACTCGTTTTGCTTTGTGATACTGAAGAATGGATCTCTCTATCTATCGGTTTTATTCGAAAAAGTATTGGTTTCGGGGGAACTCTGAAGACTTGACTTGAGGATCGTCATCTTAAACTCTAGTAATTGCTTCGACGGCACATTGGGATTATGTTAGTGGGTATGTTGGGTAATTTAGCTATCTATGTATGTATCTTTCGGGATCTGGAACAAACGAATCAAAGTAGGTGCGGTAGGTGTCTAAGACATAGGGTATATATAGGGTATAGATATAACAAATCTGAATTGGCTAGCGATAACTTTGCTTTTCTTCCATAGAGAATATAATTTTGGTCGTTGGTCTAAGACACTTTTTGGTTTCAATCCTTTTCGCTATCTGGTGTCCTTTCTCTCATATTCATAATCATATTCATATTCAAATTCATATTCATATTCATAATCATAGTCATACTCATAATCATATCGTTTATGTACAGAAATTAGTTTTTTAGATTGTAGAGTATACTTATGTGCGTAGTTAAGTAAAATCTGAGACTCGCTGGAGGGGCAAGGGTTCATTTCTTTCTTGGGTGTGTGTTTTAAGAGGAAAGAGGGGGTGTAAAAAGACACTGAAGTACACTTAGGGGTTAATGATGCTTGATTTTTTCTAAATTTCTTGTTTTTTTGTTTTTTAAACTAACTACGAAAGCACGGACGAAAACGGTTAACAACATTAACGAAAAATGGCTAACGGCCTAAAAGAAGAAGTTGCGCACTTCCTCGTCCAGGTCGCTGGAGTCCACCAGGTCGTCCATTACACCGGGCACCAGCAGCTCCACCACCTCCAGCTCCTTCTTATCCTTTTCGCTAACTGCTGATGCTTCGGCTGCCAAAGCCACGGCTGCTGCGGTCTCGGCTGCATCCTCAACGGTAACTGCCGGCTCGTCCTGCTCCGATCCCGATCCTGATCCCAGCAGCGCCTGGTAGGTATCCTCCAGCAGCACTCCGCTCTCGATGGCCGCAACAGCCTCCTCATAGTATCAGTTGAGGTCGCGCCGAAAACTGTCCTCGATGTTCGGATCGGCGATCATGATGGGGTTCTGGTCCGACAGCATCTGCAGCCCAGCCACGTCCATCTGGCCCAGGTCGAGGTCCAGCGTGTCAAAGATCTCCCTCGAGAAGTCCGCATTGGAGGAGTAATCACTGAATATAATCGAGGGAATATTCGCTGTCGTGGGCGTATGACTTTGTGACGCTCCTTGGTGGTGATGGGACTGCTGGTGATGGTGTTGCTGCTGTTGCTGTTGGTGGTGATTCAGGAGCACATTGGAGTTGGAGCAGGGTGAACTGCTGGACAGCGGAGAGTTCCCGTGGTGGGGCGAGTGCATCGGCGAGTGGTGTGGAGAGTGGTGCAGCGACAGGGATAGTTGTTGCTGTTGCAAGTGCTGTTGCTGCTGCTGCTGCTGTTGCTGTTGGTGGTGGTGATGGTGGTGTTGCTGCTGCGGTGACGCCTGTCCCGACATGGGTATGGGAAGCGGAGAGCTTGGACCGCCCAGGGGCGAGGGCACTGGCGAGGAAGCTATGCCCAGAGGATCACCAGCATTACTACTGCTATTGTTGTTCCCCGCTCCGTTAAGATTTGTGCTTCCGTTGTGCGTCGAACCGACTCCGTTGCTCAGCCCGTTGTTGTTCAGGCTGGTGACTCCCCTTCGCAGGTGGTTGTTGTTCCCGCTCGCCTCGGGACTGCCGCTCAGCTCGCTAAAGTCCAGCAACTCCTTGTTGTAACCATTGGTCAGGGCTCCACCCCCATTGCTGCCTCCACTTCCGGCATTACCGCCGCCACCTCCTCCTCCTCCGTTGTTGCCACCGCCACCTCCGCTCAGGTCATCAAAGTCCAGGGCCACAAAGTTGTTGGCGAATCCCTGCTGCTCCGGCGAGGAATTACTATCGCCGAGCGAGAAGATCTCGAACTGATTGTGGAACGAGGTATTCAGACTGTTGTACGAGGTATCGAACTGCTGCTGCTGCTGCTGTGGCACTGGCTGCTGCTGCTGCTGTTGCTGGTGGCGGATCGGGCTGGCCGGCGCACTCGAATGCAGATCCGTGGCCGAGACGCTGCTCAGCAGGCCGGGCGAGGAGCGCGGACTAGGCGGATTCGGTGGCTGGCGGTAATCGGTGGCGTTGTGCGGCCCCAGCGTCGGCAGGGGATTAAAGGTGCCCGATCCCGCGGCCGCTTGCGTTGTGGCCAGGTTGGTGAAGGACAGGTGTGGCGAGCTGCTCGGTTGCTGTTGTTGTTGCGCGTTGCTGGTGGGCGAGTGCTGTTGCTGGTGATAGGGAGACCCAGGACCCGCACCACCTCCACCGCCTCCTCCCGCTGGACTAAACGGACTCGGCGACTGATCCCTTTCCCGCCGGTGATTGTGCGGCGACATGACCGGCGACAGGGTTTGTTGCAACTGCTGCTGCTGTTGCTGTGGCGTCTGTTGCTGTTGCAGCGTCTGCTGCTGCTGCTGCTGCTGGGGTGCATAGTTCTGAAGTGCTGTGAGATCTGGCAGGGAGCCTGTGTTGGCGTAGTTGGCCTGATCCTGTAGCGGCCGGAACAGTGAGTTCGTGAATTTGGCGTTATATGGCGTGGTCTGTTGCTGTTGTTGCTGCTGCTGCTGATGTTGCAACTGCTGTTGTTGCTGTTGTTGGTGCTGTTGTTGCTGCATCTGCATCAGTTGGTGCTGCTGCTGCATCTGCTGTTGCTGCTGCTGGAGCTGTTGCAGCTGCAGCTGGTGTGGCTGCAGCATCGGCGACTTCCTACGCTGGGCCTGCGGACTGAAACTCCTGCCTATCGCGTGGTGCGGCGAGTGAGATCGTTGCTGGACCGGCTGATGTTGCTGCTGCTGTTGGTAGTTGGCGTGGAGAGTGTTGAGATCCGTGGAGAACCCGCCAGATGCCTCTGCCGCCACTGCCATATTCAGGCTCTGGTGGAGAGCCGAATCGGAGTTGGAGCGCCGCCACAGACTATCCGACGTGGGCGGCCCCAGCAGATGCGGATTGGGCTGCCCATTGTCCAGGGTTTGCTGCGCTGTGGAGCTGCTGCCGTAGGGTGACCTGTCCTGCTTCCGTTCCGAGGGTCTCCGCATGGGACCCACGCCCACACTGCGCCCCCGCGACTCACGATACGCCGTCGGTGAGCCTCCACCTCCACCGCCCGCCAAGCCATCTGGCGAGGCTCCACCTCCACTAGCTCCACTGCCAGTGCCACTGCCGCCACTACCGCCATTTCCGGCCGTTCCTGGCGAGGATTGGCCTCCCTCCTGGTTGCCCAGGCACTCGAGGATCTTTTGATTGGCCGGCGGCTCGTCCCGCTTTGTGGCATACACCTCCTTCATGATCCGTTCGAACTCCGCCGTGCCCTCGGCCTGCTTCTGCTTCTGCAGGGCGATTTTTTCGCTGAACTTGCGCGGATTGGCCATCGTGAAGGAGGTTGGTCTGTGATGAGAAACAGATAGTTTTAGGTTTAACTTTAAGATATTTATTAGGGAGGGAACAGCGTTCGTTTTAGGGAAGGGAATAGCTTAGAAATAAATACATCTCATCATCATGGAACTAATTATTCTTTAAACCCGCTGGCATTTCCAAGAATGTTGAGCAGTGCTCCTAGCCACCTAGCTGCCTGGCACTGCTGTGTCTTCACCTTATTAGAATAAGTACCTGCCTGGCTGCCTTGAAATTGTCGCAAATCCATCTTGTCTCTTCTCGGAATTCCCCAGACTCTGTCCCATCTCATCCATCTCTCCCCCACGTCGCACACCGCACGCCGCACCTTTATCTGGCACTGAAGGGCATGTTTCTAAGAGGGGGTAGAGGGGAGGGGATGGCAGATACCCCACTCCCACTCCCACACCCAGGGCTTCGTTCTTGTTTTATCAATTTGTCAGTGGAGCGGCCTGCTGATAAGCCAGATACAGATACAGATACAAAACACAAAACAGTATCTGCGAGTCTGAATTCGCATTCGCTATTCGGGTTTGGGATTCGGAATCGGATTCTCGCGGTGGCCCCCGCCATGCGTAGTAATGTTTGCCCGGCTGTCCCGGTGTCTGGCCAGCTCCTCCTGGCCCCCAGCCCCCCAGCCCTCGGCTCCCGGCTACCATTCTTCTCTGGCTGTCTCCCTATCTCTCTCGGTGGCCCCTTCACTCGGTTTCAATGCCATTGCATAACGAGTGTCATATGTACGTAGTTGTGTACATATGCGATATATATATGTATATATCTGCCGAGTATTCAAAAAGGGCGGGAAAAGCGACGAGCAGTGCAAACAACAAGTTTTATAGTTCCTATGAACTGTATACAGTGTTAAAGCAAAAAAAATATGGCAATAGATGTTTATTTACTAAATATTAATTATTATTATAAGTATATTACTAGCTAGGAAGCCAGGGGACTATTAAATGAATTTATTCATCATAGATTCCTAATTAAAATTATTAAATTTCCATGTAAAGGTTTACTTTCAAAAATAACGCTTTATTTATCAAAACTTTCCAGGAAAAGTATCGTGTATGACTTCCTTTCAAAATTTATATTTTAAGGCATTATTTTAATAAAATATTATTCTCCATAATGCTATAGTTTGACTTTAACCATTCCTAAAGATTTAATTATGTTTTATAAAGAAAAAGCTAGCCCTTTAAAATTTGTTCTTTAGATATACGACACTTTTAGACGATAATTTGAATAAAGTACTTAAAATAATCATATATATCCTCATATATTCATAATTCCCTCTTTTTTAAGACTCGAACACACAGTTGTTATGAATAATAACCGAATAAATGTATTTATAATAATAATAATATAAAAATTTGATAAAGTACCAGCTTCATATGAATGTAAAGTTTTTAATATATTTAATAGATTTTACATTAAAATAATTAGATATCCAATCACAGGTTTATTTATATCAATGTGGTATATTACTACCAAAGAATTAATACCGAAAAAGCATCTAAAATGACTTATTTTCCATATTTCGAAATATTTGCATATTTTTCCAAATATATTAATACATTTTTTTAATTTTAATGCTAAGTTTGTTAAGGTTTCTTTGTAAAATATTTTATAAGCTCCATCTTGTAGCAGGATTGCTACTTAGGGTATATATATATTAGCTATAAGTGTATTGTATAACTGTAAACTATTAGTGTAAGTCGGTGTCGTTGGCTGTTGTCGGTTCTGGCTCTCTCTCTCTCGTGCTCCCATCGCTCTCATTGCTCTCTCAGCGAGCAATGAGGGTTGATGCTGATCACGAGTTGAGAGCGGAGTCAGTCGAACACCAGCAGCGATCCGAAGCGGATCTAGTCAATAATAAATAAACTAGAATAAGGAAAGTGTTGGTGTTTTACTCCAGGGACATTGTTATATCCCTACAATCTATGCTTTAGTTTCGATCAAATTTAAGATTCAATTATTCAAAGAAAAGGCAGAAGATTTAATTTTATTTTCGTAAAGATACTTTACGATAGTTGTAGATATAGATACTTTCTATCTAGCTCCATATTCTGATCTAAACCTATGCCTTTTTGTGGATATATGATACTTCTATAGGATAATTGAATAATTTAAATAAAATACTTAAACTTCATATTTAAACCATACATTTTTCTATTTTAGATTATATTCTTTGTATTTTAACTACTTAAACCTAACCACCAAGTCCATACATTTTCTCTCCGTGTCACCTTCTGTTTGGGTTTCGGTTTTTAGGGTTTTGGAAAAGGGGTTTCTCGGGGCGAGCGTCTTTTGGAGCGGACGCCGACTGCCGACTGGCGACTGCCACCTGCAGCTGCATTATGCAAATGCCGCGAATTGCGTAGCAAACGAAATAATCTTTTTGTTTTTGTTTTTTGTTTTTGTTTTGTTGCATTAATTTATTCCGGTTCCGCGGCAATGTACAAAGTTTAAGCTTTTTTTTCGTGAAGGGCGTTATAAATACAACTTTTAAACCACGCCAGCTTGGAGGATTATGCTCCAAATTTTGGTATCATCGCACGAGTCTGGGGCTGGGCACCTACCTAGTTCCATATAAACCAGTTTCGCAGCTTGCGACAACTTTTCGTTTAGCTCGGAATCGATGGTGATGATGATCTCTGACGTGTTGACAACAAAAGCTCCAAAAGGTGGCCAAAGATCACTCAAAAAACGGGCAATCTAGCCGAGCAACCTAAAAATCACTTCATATCTTTATCTATGGGGGCGCGGAAATGTATAGTTTCTTGGATGGGATAGGTTTCTTATCAAAGTTGAGGTGTACATATGTACTTATGTATGTACCATACATGCTATGTACTTTAGATATTATTACCTCAGGTATTAATTTATACATTTTAAGTGGGTTTTTCTTAAACATTCATTGGCTTTTCTTTAGATATTCCTCAGCTGGTTTTAAGTTCCCATACCTATGATTCAAGCTTATTAATAAAAACCATTACCTTATTGATTTTGTGGTTCTCAGAGAGAAGTTATTGTTTAATTAAATCGATTAAGGTTGCGTCTCTACTTATAAGGTTGCGTTCCTAAAGACCCTTGACTTTGTTAATATCTTCTTGGAACCTTATGCTTCCAATGTTTGATGACTAAGTTGTTGTTATTACTTAATTTGTTGTATACTTGTTAATTCTAGCTAAACGCTGACACATCCCAGATATGAATGATTTTTTTTTTATAAAAACCACAAACAAAAAATGGTTGTTTGGCGAGAATTTTTGTAGGATTGGCATACACTTTCAAGAAAATCTTATATGGAAGATGATTTCTTAGGCCATTCCATGTCATAATGAACCTCCCCATCAGGTGGTGACTAATTCCAGTAGGTATCGGAAGTCTCTGGCTGCCCATTATGGCTCTTAAATGCAGTCGAGAGAAGATTTTGAATGCGTCGCACACGTTTGGGGGCCATAAAAAGGCAGAGCACGCCCCAAACTTTAAACAAAGGTAGACTTTATATTCCTTTTTTGGGGGAAAGATATAATTCGGCAGGGGGGTGGCCTTTCTGTAGGGCCGGAAATATTCCCACGAATCGATAATGACATTTAATAATTATTTCATAAATTGCGTCCAAAACGAATGGGCTTAGTAACCATACAATGTGTGTAGGAGGCCTATTTTTGTTTGGTTTTTACACTTTAAAAAAAAAAAAGACTATCTATTAGTTAGGTATAAGACTATGATTGAGAATAAAACATATGGTTTTTTATTTTTTTTACAAATATTAAGGTGGTAGACTTGTAAACATTAATAAATAAATACAAGCTACATATAACCTTGGTAAAGTAAATATTATTACTTTGTTTTTAAGGTGTTACTATTGTTACAACGTAGTTTTTGAGATAAAAAACTATACTATAACTATGTTTAAAGAAGAGAATAATTTAGGTTCTAATTAATCCAAACAAAGGGAAGAGAATTATACATGAAATATAAGAAGAAATAATTTTAACCTTTTTTACTATAATTTCAGATTTAATAGAAACTCCATTTTCTTAAAGAAACTATACATTTATAAAAACTTTGAGATAAAAAAAACACTATATTTAAGCATAATTTTCTGATAATTACAATTATGTACATAACTTCTAAGTTAAAGTAATTCTAAGAGTAATTTCAAGGTATAATTTAGGGTAAAAAAGAGCTTCATACTTTCATTATTATTTTATTTAAAACTCCCTTTCTCTTAAAAACTCTTTTCTATTTCTTAAATCTTTCTCCCTGTGTACTTCCTCAGTTCCTATAGTGACATTCTCTTGTGCTCCTGGGAATCGCTTATCAGCCGCTTTATCGGCGCGCGCTCTGTGGAATTTTTGAATAATTTCCGATGTTTGTTTATTTATCGCGCGGCGCAACCGCAACAGTTAAAACGAAAGGAAAGGAAAGAAAAAGTAAAGGAGGTAGGGGTGGAGGTGGGGGATGGGGAGGAGGTGGTGGGGTTCAACACATTTGCAGAAAAGTGTGCAAAGCAAAGAGGCGGCAAAAACAAAACGAACGCTGGCGTGTGGGGGTGAAAAGGAAAAAAATAAGGGGGGGTTCTGTGTGTGTGGGGGAGTGGGAGGCACTTACATTTCAAGCGCGGGCTTGGACAACAAATATTCCGTTGCTCTCTCTCACACTCTCTCGCTGTCTCTGTTGCGCGGCAAACTCCAATTAGAATTTTTGAGCTGCTGCGCTCTCTCTCTCTCTCTCTCTCGCCGTTCTGGCTATGCAAATTTTTTGGTTCTTGTTGTTTTTGTTTTTGTTTTAGCTTGATTAAAATCTCATATAGAAGAATTAAATTTTTTTGGCGGTTTTTTTGTTTTTGTTTCTTTCTTATAATATTTGTTGTATTTTATTGTATTGTTATTGCCTTTTGCGTCTTGCCGCGTTTTTCTGTCAACGTCGCCTGATAAAACCAGATTTGATTTTGAGTCGAAATTGGTGGCTGCTTCTGATGTTGTTATTGTTGTTGTTTGTTGGTGTGATTAAATCCGAAAATCGGCATCTGATTTGAGTTTGTTGGCAAAAAATTGTTTTAACAACTGATTGTTGTTGTTTTTCTCGCTCGCACTTACAAACACACACACTCACACACACACACCCGCACGCGTACGCACACACTGGCGGTATTTTTATTTTTTTTTTTATATTTTATTGTTTTAACGCAGAACTGCGACGTTGTTTTTTTTTTTGCGCTCTCAGCTGGTTGGCACTTTTTTTTGTTGTTTTTGTATTCTGTATTTTTGTATTTTCTTATTTTTTTTTCGTGGTTACCGCATGAAAAACTTTTGTTGCGCCTTTGACCTCTTTTCACGGCAGAACGGAACGGAAAAAAAGTGCGTTGGTATTTGTGTAGATTGGTCGGTGGCCTGCCTCCTTCCGATTGGTATCCAATTGGGTTTTGGGATTACAGCACGCACCTGAGGCGGCTGTTTTTATATTGCATTTCCTTGATTCTATATATTCTTGGGCTGCTGCTACTGCTGCTGCTCCGATTTGGCTTTTGTTTTTCACATACACACACACACACAGATACGCGCGGCGGATACAAATGGGGAGCTCTCGCACACACACACACACTCACGCGCGCACGGGGAGGTAAAGATGTTGGGGTGGTGGCGGCGGCGGTGGAGGGGACCGGAGCGAAGCGGAGCGGGGGCGCAGTTGTGCACACTCACTTCGCAGCAATTATATATATTTTTTTTTTCGTATTTTGTGCCTGTGCCTATTTCGCGTTTTCTTTTTTTTATCGCCGTGTATTGTGTGTTATTTTCGTTGCACTCGCGCACAGAACACTTATTATTGCTGCTCTAGCTGCTGCTGCTGCTGCCATACTTCTTCTTCTTCGCTCATCATCTTCGTCGCTCTGCTGTCCGCTGGCTACTTTTTTTGCGCGAGCTCTTTGCTTGCCGATTTCGCAAAGTTTTGTTGCACGATTATCGCCGATTTACCTGCAACTGCGCGTTGCTTTTTTCACCTTTTATTGCACGTTTGTTTTGTTATTTTTACACTTTTTCTCATATTTTCAGTGCAGTGCAGTGTGACCAGCTGGCGGACGTGAATAAAAGTATCTTATTTGACAAGGTAACCTGCCAGATCGTCTTTGCCAGAGCAGTGTTGGACAATGCTTTTAGATTTAAACGCTAGGTGGTGCTATAAAAGCGACACTACCGGAAAAAATATGAAACAAGCATAGGACGTTATAAAAAATTTAAAATTTATTATTTTATTTATTAAAAATTTTATTTTTATGTGGATATCAACTAGTTTTGGAATTAACATTGTAAAATTTTAAACATGTTTTATAAATCAACTAAATAAACTATATTTCTGTGTCAATACTATAATTAAAATATAAAATAAAGTTAGTAGGCAATCTCACCATCAAAATGCAATTTTAAACTCTCATCATAAAATTATTTAGATTCAGAATTATTTTGATTTCGTTTTGCAGCGAATTTAAATTGCATCAACCAACACACGCACATCCGTCTATCTGTGTATGTGTGTGTGGGCTTAAACGCCTGTTTCCCTTTCCGTTAACATTTTGTGTCTGGTTTCCGGCATTTTGTGTGCGCCATTTAAAATTGTTTTCTCCGATACGAATCTTTCTCTACTTCTTCTAGCTGTCCGCCTTCGCCCGTCCACTCTCTCTCTTTTTTTTTTTGGCCGAATGGCGAAAATTTTCGTTTTACTAGACACTTGAAGCAGGAATTGGTAGCAAATTGGCGGCCTCGGGGCCACGAAGGCATTTAAGGGTCGACAAGGAAATGAAGAACGGTATATAACGGTATGGGCCAGAGGACTAAGAAGAATAAGGCCAAGAAGTTGGAAAAAACGTAGCAAGGCAAATTGTTTGCCTTCGATGGAAATCTTCTCTGGAAGAAGTTCCCTTTTTTAGAAAAAAAAACTAATACAACAAAAATTAATTCATTCAATTTTATTGAATTAATTTTTTTATGTGTTTCTGTTTTCTTCTCTTTAATTTGTTTCTTTCATAAATACAAACACCTTTTATGTACTTATGTAATTCATTCATCAAACTGTCAAATGAATGTCAAAACTAATGGAGCTTTTTTCTTCTCCCCTTCCGAAAAGTGGTCGAAATGGTGCTCAATTATTGAAATGAATTAGGGGGTGAATAGTGGGCGAATAGTAGGCGAATAGTGGGTGGTAATGTGACTTGTATTTTTATGAAAGCTAGTTTTTCCCTTACTCCCTTCAATGAGCTCTTGGTAAACAAGTTTTCCCAAGCAACTAAAATTTCATTTAGTAAATAAAATAAAATAAAAATTAATTGCAGATACTTTTGTGGTATTTGATTATTATTTCATTTTCGTAATGGTTCCTTTACCAACCCCATTATCAACTTTTCGGCCTGTTCTGACTCTCCCACTTATCAATGTTCCTATTTTGGAAATCGAATACCGACCACCCACCCACAATCTAGCAAGGACTGGTTCGAGTTGTTTAATTAGACAAACAGCTCTTCAAATTTAACGCATATTAATTTTCAACTACGCTATCTCCTTGCTCCCTATGGCTCCGATTGCCTGAACTTTGCCCCTCGCGGTGTAGTCTCATTATCAGCATTTCGTGGGCTTGTTATCATCTGATATCATTGTGTATTGCAGCGCCCCCGCACCGAACCACTTGACATTGTATGGTTATTATTCGAGCATTGATTTCTCACATTTCAATCAGGGTCCTACCCGCTCATTGTTAGTCTATTTTTGCCACTCTGATTGTTTTTTTTTGAGTCACTTTCCCCGAAGTGTTTTGAATTTAGACTTGGCCTCGGTCGATGGTTTTTATTTTTCGGTGGCAGTAACAATTAAAACCAACGACCGATTGGTGCTCCATTGAACGGTACGGCTATACTATAGATTTTGTGAATCCTGTGTACAAACGTGTAATAAAAAGATAGCCAGCTGTGAAATTAAATTTTATTTCAAACAAGTCTGATGGCCAAATCGAAGGAAAGCAACAAATATTAATGGCCGGAATTGGAAAAGCAGGAAAATCTGCAACTGACACGAAGTCAAATGAAATTGTTTCTGTCGAATGGCAATTTAATTGCTGAAAATATTTAGGACTCTATTTAAATGTGAAACAATTGCCGATCCAAATGAAGGCAGTTGATTGTGTTTTGTTGGATTTATTTTAATTTATTTATTGTTTCCTTGTCGTTGACTGATAAGCTTTTAGTCGATTATTTCCAGATTTTCAATGAAGTTGTTGGGTTTTTTTGTTATGACATCAAAAATATATGAAATATATCAATTGTGTTTACCCAGAGGGATACTTATGATTTTTTTTAAGAATTTAAAAGCCTATTTTTGATGTCCTTTTAGCTATTTGCTTAAATCTACCTTAGTTTGATTTCTTTAATCTTTAATCTGAATCTTTAATTGGAATTAAGTTACCGGAAACTAGCATATGTGCTTTATTCGGTTTAAGTATTGTCCTGCCATTGGAGCTCATTATCTCGTCCTTTTGGCTAATTTTCCTCCCACAACTTGCTTTTCTCCACCGCCCCCATTTTTTTTGTGCAGCCACAACCATAGATAGACAATCGAGTGTGAGTTGAAAAAGTGGTTTTTCTTTTCACAGTGTTTTCTTTGTGTTGTCTTTGCATTCTCCACGCTTGCTTTCCACTCCCCCACATCCTTGTCGGAGTGAATCCTTTTCATTCGGCTCCTCCCCCCAGTCATTTAATGGCGCGTTGTTCAAGTAGACACGAAGGAAGAGAGAGCAAAAGTGAATGTTGTGGGTAATGCACTCCTTAAGCTGCTTAATTGTTGCCAAATACTCGAGGAATTCCCCAGACACTCGAGCCTTTAAGGCTCCTTGAACTCGAGTTAAATTCAAGCTGGTGTGGATCATAAATCTTTAGCCGTCGCTATTCAAATTGCTCAATTGATGGCGCCCAACAATGGCCCGGAGGGGCCAAAGGATTCGCCATTGTGCAGCTGTCTGCTTAGCGCTCAGGACTCGCTGGCAAGGAGTCGGAGGGATCGCTGGAGCGTTAATAAGCTCGGCAAGTAATCTATGCTGCCTGTCAGTCTTGTGGCAAGTGAGTTTGAGTTCAAAGATGCCAGATTAGTTAGATTGTCGTCTGAGTTCTAAAAAAAATAATGATTTTTAATATTACTATAAAGTTAGGGTTTTAAAATCTGAAGAATCACTCAATAGGTCAACGAAATTGGGATTTAATTTTGTTTTCCGGTTACTACCTGTTTAGTCATTAGCTCCAGTGACGCAGTTTCAAAAGTGTTAATAAAAGTAATAATTGATTTTTAAACTGGCGCCAAGCATTTAAATAAATAACTTAATGATATAAAAAAATTATGGGGTAAAACCCTAACCCTAAGAGCCTCAAAAACTTTCTAGTCTGGCCATCCAAAGGCCAAGCGATAGGAACTGTTAACCCATTCCGGCCATATCCTTTTGTTTTCTTGTTTATGGGCCAGACAATTGCATTTCGAAGCTCCACCTCGGCACAATGGCCTCTCGCCGCTTCATTGTATTAATAACTTGACGCCGCCTGAACTAAAAAGACCTATTTCTAATACTCCTTTCCAGCGCAGGATGGCACATCCAAGGACCGGGTCTCTGCTGGGACTGCAGCTGCTTCTAGTGGCAAGCCTAGTGGCCTCAACCACGGCCTCGCTGTTTGCTTCATTACCGGAAGGTGGAGTGGTTGGAACAAATGTTCTAGGACTCATGCCGGGACAACAAGTCCTGGCTGCAGTGCCCGCATCAGGTAAGCATCGTTTGTCATCAGAGTTGACAAATTTAAATTCCAAAATGTTATTAAAAGACTATTTAAAATGCGGGTTTTGTTGGAAAATTTATTCGTTTTCACGAAAAGGAGTAGCCGGAGGGATTCCATAAATAATTTAAACTTTATCTTAAAGATAAAAATGAAGCAGTCGACAGCACTATTGTCTGCTACAGACTCCATTCCTCTCTTGGTTTTCCAATTAGCTTTGTTTATCACGCATACGCACTGTGGTCTCCCGACTGGAGGGCCAGGTGGAGTGGAATTTTCCGCAAGCTGGATCCGAGCGGCATGATGAGTGTGCGGCATGGGAATGTCAACGCATTCTTAATTGGTATTTCGTCTTCCACCTACATTTAGTTGCTCTAGCCAGCAATCTGCGCGTCTTTCCCAGACCAGTTCTATTCCTATTCCGCCGAGAATCCGAAAATAACTCGAGTGTCACTAGCGCTTGCTCACGTTGTAAGCCCTAAGCCTTACCACTCTGCTGGGAGACGGTTGTAAGGTGGCATGAAGGGTGCATGAAGACAATGGGGTAAAATGGTAAGGGTGCATGGGACGAGGCGACAAAATAGTCAAGAGCAGCTGCAGCGAAACGTAGGCACTCAAGCGAGCATGAATGAAAGAGAACAGTGGTGTCTGACTAAGATGAATTATCTATAGGGTAACTGTAATAAAAAGCAAGAAATATAATGGATATATTGGATTTATAAGCTACTCAAAGATATTTTTCTAAGTTTAAAAATACTGACATAGTTTGTTGCAAGGCAGATACTATTCAAAGTGCCTATAATTTCTTTCCAGATTGTGTTGCAAGAAAGATCCCTTATAAATCTAGTTTCTATATTATTACTCTTTTTTAATATTTATTTATCTCCCATATACTTTCCCTTATGTGTAGCTTTTACTGTACCTTTATCACTTACTGAGCATTTTGTGTGACACTATTATCCCACTTTCTCCGCTTCTGCACTTTCTCGTCACTTTTCTATTTTCACTTCCTCTACCGCTGCTTGTTTTTCCGTTGCCCTCGGCAATCGCTATATCCGCTTGTTCTAGTCCCCATTTTCTCCACATCGTCCTCGATCCTCCCTGGATCCTAACCGTACCCATATCCTTGTCCCGCCCGGCAGCATCCTTGCCGTTTCCGTTGCAGCGGGCGTGGTAAGTAAGCAGCATTTGATGTCGCTGGTGTCATTTGTCACGCGTTGTCGCTGCTGTTGTTGTTTGTTTGTTTACCGCTGCGTTGTTGCAGCTTCTTGTTGCAACGATTGTTGCTGTTGTTGTTCGTCTTCGTTACGCGTTGTCAACATATGCATCCGAGAAAAGTGCACTGTGCCAAAATATATGTAAAGGGCTTTATGATCAAAAGACCTTTATAGGATAATAGGATTCTTGTAGGAATTCTGAGAAAAAGGAAACTTAGACATATGGAAAGTATTATAGATTTTTGATTGAACCCTGAAAGGGACATTCTTCAAAACTCTATTTATATCCAGAAATATATCCTTTTAGTTTAAAGATAAACATCAACAGAAATCATATATTTAAACCTTCTAAGTCTCCCTTTCTCAGTGTATCTGTATGTGTGTTTGGGCCGCGTTTATTCTTGGCATCATTAAGCCCCGGCAACAACACTTAACACATATTGTTGCCATCCGCTGGCCGTGCTCCCTGCATCCTTGGCTCCTTGACACCGTCGCTGGCTCTTCCGCTGCCACTCCATACAATTGAGGATAAGTAGTGCCAAATGCCGGGGAAGCCATTAAAATGCAAATTTCTAGTGGTCACGTGATGCTGCTGGGCCAGCAGTTTTTTTTTATCTTTTTTCACTTTTTTTTGTTGCCATGCATTTCAACTTGGCCCACATAAACAAGCCCACAAATAACGGCTAAGAAGAACCGACTCTGACAACAAACGGCGGAAACAACAGCGCGGAGGACGACCAAGTGACACTAACTCAACAGCAGCCACTGCATCATCGGCGAACTTTCGCTTTCGCGTTTTAGGTTCTATAATAAACAAGAAAGGAAAGCTAACTTCGGGCGGAGCCGAAGTTGATATACCCTTGCAGTTAAAACCGGATATATATCGCAAACATCGGATTTAGTTGGCCGATCCTTATGATTACATTATAATAAAACCAATTAATTAAATTACAAAATCTAAAAAAAAGTCCCAAGCTTCTATCGTCAAAAAAACAAAGTTGTTATTTTTACTAAACACCAAATACCATTTCTGATCGTTCAGTTATATGGCAGCTATAAGATATAGTCGGCCGATCCTTATGAAATTTGGTAGGTTGGATCAACTGACCAAAAATAGAATCTGTATGGAATTCCAGCATTCTATCTTCAAAAACACGAAAGTTGGGTCATTTCCGATCGTTCAGTTATATGACAGCTATAGGATATAGTCGGCCGATCCTTATGAAATTTGGCACGTCGTATTGTTTTGCCAAAAATAGCTCTCATGTTAAATTAGAACGTTCTAACTTTAAAAACACCAAAGTTATACCATTTCCGATCAATCAGTTATATGGCAGCTATAGGATATAGTCGACCGATCCCGGTCGTTCCGACTTATATACTGCGTGCAAAGGAAAGAAGGGTGTGTGCAAAGTTTCAAGTCGATAGCTTTAAAACTGAGAGACTAGTTCGCGTAGAAACGGACAGACAGACAGACAGACGGACAGACGGACAGACGGACAGACGGACAGACGGACAGACGGACATGCTCATATCAACTCAGGAGGTGATCCTGATCAAGAATATATATACTTTATAGGGTCGGAGATGTCTCCTTCACTGCGTTGCACACTTTTGGACAAAATTATAATACCCTCTGCAAGGGTATAAAAATGCGGTGTCCTTACTTTGTTTTGGCCTTTTCCTCCGGTTTTTGTTTTCCCATTTCGCCGTCTGACATTTTGGGTCAGTTGTCGCATTTATTTTCCGCCCGCTGTTTTGCAAATTATTATTATTTTGGTTTTTGTTTTTTTTTTTGGGAAACTTTCAACTTAAAAATGTGTGATTTATTGCCGAGATGCAGCTTCAACTTTTTCTGTGGTGCGTTAAACATGGCGTATGATTAACGTCAACGCGGCGTATGCGTGACGCGAAAAAAGCTTGGCCCAGAGAGATGAGTGGTGTGAGGGGGAGGTAGTGAGGAAATGGCAACAGCACTTAACGACAGCTCAAAGCTGCGGAAAAAACCGAAACGAAACGAAACGCAACGTAAACTTCTTGGCAAAGCAATTCTCAACTGCAGTTGAAAATTAGTTTCGAGTGACAAGCGCATAAATCGTACACAAGTTAATTAAATAACTTTGAAATCGCAGAGCCAACAGAGGTGGAAAACGATTTCGAATTAAATTCCAACTATGAAAATGCTAGATAACTTTTGTACAAAACTTTTCAAAAATATTTATTGATTTTAAAGGACTTCCAAAGATAGGTAGCTTTCAAAGAAGTTATTACCTCATTTCCCCCTTTTTATTCTTATACCTTCTTGATTATTTTCTCAGGAATTGCATTATTCGAGAACCCAGTTTTGTTTTAACCAAATGAAACGGAAATTACAAAATCATTCGCTGCTTAATACGATTTCCTTCTCGATGGCAAGGATTTCCACGACAAGGCATCCCTTTTTCAGCCTTTTGTTTGTCCCATTTTTCAGGTGATTTTTTTTTCATCCTTTCCCAGGAGGATGATTGGACAGAAGAAATGTTCTTTTAAATGTTCGATTGATTGCCAACTGCCGTCGACATAATGCCATTGATGGGATTGATGTCTAATGACTGCAATTCGATACGCTTATCAAAGATTCATGTGCTCACTTGTTCGAAAAAAACATCCTTTCATTTTCATTTCCTGCGGCCCTGCCATTTTCCAGTGGAAATTGCACTTAACTGACAGTAAGTAGCTGATTGTAACTTCAACAATCAATCAGGGAGACTAATCTGAAAATCCAAGAACAAAACAGCCCTTTAGAGAGAGAGCTTTGGAAAGGCCACCTGGCAGCTCTAGAGTATTTTAAAATTAAATTTCTTGCTTGGTCCGGTCCACTTTTCACCACCTGCTCGCTTTTTTCTTGCCTTTGATTTCAGAGCGCGTCAGTTTTTTGCTTTACCAATTAGCCTTGGCCATAAATTCAGCCGCCGGCGTGCAGGAAGTCGAGGAGGTGCAAGTGGTGGAGAACCAGGAGCAGTTCCTGCCAGTGAACCCGGATCCCAACTGGCTGGCCGCCATGGCAAATGAGTTTCAGGTAAGACCGAGACGGCGACGCATCCGCCTCCCACCCGAATCCGTAAGCCAGATAACTCCTGCCAACATAAATCACGATGTTGTTGCTGCTTAACTTTCGGTATGTCTTTTTTCTCCCATTTTATTTTTTTTTTTTAACTTTGCCCGGATATCTGTCAGAGCCTGTCTTGGTTCGGTTTTGGACGGGAATCTGGAGGTTGCACTTGAGGATGAGGCTGAAGTGATAGGAACATCTCCAGGCACGTGACCGCATCGTGGTCACGCTCCAGTGCCGCCGGATTTCATTTACAGCCAGAAGGCACGCCACGTCGCGTCCCTGGATTGAAAACAATCAGGCAGGCAGCTCAAGATTTATCAGCCGCTCCTTCAAGTGCCACCGCACCGAAGGCCAATAACCGATTAAGCCCTAAAGAAGGCTTATCACTCGAATTTGGATTATACCCACCCGCACTCAATCATTTTCGGGAGATTATAAATCTTTACGGGTCTTAAAATTTCAATTTGCAAGATCTTAAATTTATGGGAATAATTCAGGGGCATTTAGATTAGCTCCTCGTAATATTTTTGGTTTGTCATTGGGTTTTTGGTGTATTATTTATTATTAGCTTATGTAACGATTCAAATTGTTTTAGAAAACCACAATTTAGTTTATAAATGTATTCTCTAAATAAAAAAAATCATTTCCCCCTAAAAATCCCCATCTAAACAACTCATTTAAGTCGATATTGCCACACTTTGATTGAAAATTCATAGTCACTCTTAATAATCACATCATCCAAGATTATGGCCGCCCTCTTGCCCACTTGTGGCCCGAAAGGCAAACCAATTTTTGGCATCTGAGATTGCAGCCAGAGCATAAAAAAGTGAACAGGACCTTTTTTGCATGCATTCAAAATTTCTCATTATCGCTTGCATAAAGAGTATCCTTGTTTGGGTAACCTATGAGTCAATTTTGGGTTTTTGACATTTTTTCTAACAAAATTTAAATATGTGTGTCTACCCAGAGGGGTCTTGGGCTGGAGGGACTTTAGATTTTTGTGTTACCCCAGCTGCCCCATCGAATTTTTGGGTGTATTGCATTTTGCAATGTTGCTGCTGTGGTTGGCTATCCTTCCGCAATGGTCTGGCTGGCTCAGAGACATCTGCTTTCAATTTCGTAGATTGTCTTGCACAAATAAATGCAAATTTTATGCAAAACAAACGACACTGATAGTGAGAGATATATTGAGTAGAGAACTGGGAACCAGGAGGAGTCTTCCTTTGGTCTGAGTTCCTCGGTGTCCACCGATAAGCGACAAGCTTGTATTTTTTATTTAACATTAAAATATTGCAAATTTATGAGAATAACATATTCTAACCGCCGGAAAAATTTCCGAGCTTACGGATCCTTTTATTAAACTATGTCTTGTGTTTATTTGAGTCTATAAAGTATATAATGTATTTCCTTAAGCCTTTTAAACTTTGCCCAAATCTCTACAGGCAAGTATTGGCCATTTTCAGCCAAGATAGGATTCATTTTGAGAAGTAAACCGCTGTTCATTAGGCTCTTGGATTCCCATCCAATCCTACGGCCCTCACCACACTACTATTTTGCTGGAAAAGCGGCGAGAAAAACAAGGGAAATGTCCACTGGGGATTACTTTGCTTAATTCAACTGCAAATGAAAATTGTTTGTTCTGTAAATTCAATCTCTCGGTGTCTTGTTGACGTTGTCATTACGCCGATGTCTGGCTCAGCTGTTTGCAGGATGGCCAGGATTCTACTTCACCAACCCCTCACCCCTCACCCACCACCTTCTCACTGAGTTCATCAAAGCGTAATCTGCACAAAATGGCGTCACTTCCTTAGCCAGGCGTTCTATGGCTTGCAAAAAAAAAAAAAAATGGTAAAATGGCAGGCAACTTTAAGGCTAACTATGCCGGAGTCTCTCTCTAAGCATCCGTCCCGCTATCCCTCTGCTTTTCTCACCTAATGGAGTCATAATTCTTCGGCTCGTTAGCAATACATGCAACGTAAATATGCTTGCGCCGAAAAGTATGCCAGGCATTTCGTTTGGTCCTTGCCACGTTTTTAGGGCATACCCTGCAGACGTCTCACTATGGGGCCAACGACCACTTTTTGTGGCCATAAGTCATTTTTTAAAAGTTTTTAAAGAAAGGATCTAATGTCGTCATTAACTTAAGATAACATCAAGCTTTAATGATGCATAACAGAAAAGTTAACAGAGATCAACACTGTTATGTTATTAGCTGTCAAAGTTCACTGTTAGTGCCGATAAAAAACACGTGGTAGATTAGCAAAATATTTTCGTTTTTTAAAAGAGTTTTTAGTGGACTAAAAGGATTTAAAACATTTATGTTTGATATGCAGTCGAACCAAAGGGGTTTGTACTAAGTGTTTGTGGGTGTCCATTGTAGGAATTGATCGTGTTGTTTTTGTAGTGTGTGTTTTTGTGTACCCCCTGAATAGGTAAAAGCTAAATTGAAGTACATTTTTCAAATGGAGTAAACAAAAAAATGTAACCTAGTTTCACCTTAATATTTGTACTGTGTTGTAGTGTCTTTCGTCCTCTTTCAAATGAATGTAGTCTTAAGCTGCATATGTTTGAACTTTTTATGGTATTTTGATTTTTAGGTCAGTGCCTGAGCAACGATAAATTGTTCGATAAATGGAAATCAGCTGCTACGAAAAGCTGAAAGAAGTCTGCTATTTTGGATTGCTTTAGGAAAAGTGTAAATGGGCCTATATCTGAAGACCAAGATACAAAATTAGTAGTCCAAAGCGAACAATTTTGCTACCGTTTATCACGAAAGTGGAATAGTTGCAAAAGAAATGTAGCATTGTTTAGAAGAAGGCATGCTGTTTGGCTATCTTCGCAAACTGTTGTGCATATGGAAACAAAGAACCGACGATCCGTGGGTCGACCTTCATTATCATACGCGGTTAGGAGTTACAGAACGATAAGAAGGGCAGCATCAGGTCTTGCTTCTCGCATGGCAGGAAATGTAGGTCTTCTAATTCAATCAGCGAGTGCAGCAGCGCAAAAAGGGGGCAAAGTTGATCTCGCCTTTGTTTTACAGCTATTAGCTAAAAGTCCTAAAAAGGCAACAAATACTCATTGTTCATAAGATGTTCAACAACTGTTCATAAGATCCTTGTTCATTCGAGTGACATAATAGAAAACACAGTAATTCCAGTGGGATGCTTCGGAGAAGAAGGAGCAGAATCAAGGAACAAAATTTACAAGTCTGATCGGCTTCACCATGCAAGAAAAACCAACAGAATAGAACATTTTACGGATGTTTTTCAAAGAGCATTTGACACATCCGATCCACTCATTTCTACCGTTAATGTATCAAGCGTATACGGACTCAGAAGCAATTAAGCCTACTTTTAATAGTTACTGAATTGCTTGATGGCGTAAGTTGTACTTCAGATACGCATTTAGAGGACCTTTCAGATGATCAATTTGAATTTTCTTTTGATATGGAACTGCAAGCCGAAGAACAAATACAATAAAAATAGAAATGAGGTACTTAAACATAATATTTGAATTATTCTACATGAATTTTAAAATCAACTATTTACAGCTCGTCAAGCCTGACATTAATGTAAATGGATATTTTAAGGAGCACTAGTGCCTTTTTATTATTCAATAAATAAATATAGACAAATAAACATATATTTTTATGATTTTTTTACGGAATTTTATGATGAAATATTATAATAGGTATATCTTTAAAAAAAAAAGGTGGTGCCACGCCCATTATCATAAAACATATTCATTTTTTTATTATAAACTCAAATCCGAAAACCAAACCGAAATATCTCGTTTCGTTTTCGAGATATTAATTTCGGCCATAAAAAGTGTTCGTTGGCCCCATAGTGCGTCTGTCCGGGCGTCCTTTGAGCGTTTTTAACTCATTTTGAGACAACTAGCGGGATGCCATTATACAAGTTAATTGATTCTTCAAAGGGTGCCCGAAAAGTGTTGGTTAAATCTAGAAAACTCGATTATCCTTGTTACTAAAAATAAAATTGTTATGAAAAGAAGGATGGAGTTAGTAAATATACCAGTTTTAGGAATGATGGCATCTTTTCTGAAGGGTTTTCAATAGATTACATTTACTATTTTCTTTATTTTCCATTCTTAGGTTTAATAATCTAAAATGATTTATGTTTTTAATTAAAATATCATATATTCTTTGGTTTGTTTTAATTTTTCTTTATAAATAAAATCTAAATATAATTTATAATCTTCATAAAATCTCTTTACACCTGCTACTCCTTTTAATTTAAATTTATTTCTAAATTTATACTCCTATTCAAGGGTATATTTTCGGTTCTAAAATTCTGTGTTGCCTTCATCAATTTGTTATCCATATTCCTTCCAAGGACTTGCCGCTCACATCCATATCTGCAGCAGTGGGTGTGTGTGTGTTTTCCTGCGAGTGTCCTGGCTCGTGTTAAACCTTTTTGCCTTTGGTATTGCCCCTGGTCGTGGGCGTGAGTCAACAAGGCAGCAGCTTTGCCAGTTCTTGGCCGCTTCGGCTGACAAGTTGCTTAATTGAAAAGTGTTTTGTTTGGGATGCCACGGGCAAGGCCGGGTCTCTGGATTCTAGACTCTAGACTACCAAGGATGCTCCCAGATTCCAGAAGCTCTTCTGGCTGCTGATTTGACAACTTTTACGTTCAATAATTTGCTCCTTATTTATGCGTGTGCTTTAAAGTCTGTACCTCCAAAAAAAAAAAAGAAAAAATGAACCGAAAATATAGCAACAAAGGACTTCCTTTTAGGACCTGGGATGGCACAGGACCTCCGCATATTTATCACTCTTGCTACTTTTTATTGCTTCCTTCTTCGCATATCGTTGTCCGCCGCCTCCTCCTTCGTCATAAATAATTATGTTATTTTAGATTCCCTTTTTCGGCGAGATAAATTGTGGCAATAATTATCGCACATTTTTCACAGCGGCATTTTTCGAGGACTCTCAGCAATTTGGTGACAGTTTTCGTAATTAAGTCGACATGGTGACTTAATGACGCTGCCACGCCCTCTGGGGATGCCACATGAGGCAAGCTGCGCACTTATGCTTTATATGTTTTATGTATTTTTAATTAACTTTGATGTTGATTCGGCAAATGCCTACTGAAGCTTGCCGCCAGCCAAATTAGCCTAATCAAAAGCAACTCTCAACTTTGTCTGGAAGTGCCCGAAGGACTCTCCGGTTATCCAGACTGTCCTCTCGAATAGTCTGTATTTTTGCTTGGATCCTTTGTGCCCCCTGCCCTCCTTTTCCCTGCTTGGGTGTTCGTCTCAAGTGTTTGTCTGTCTAATTGGTAAATTTAATTAGCCGGCCACTGGCCACTGGTCAGTTTCCCGCTGCCCGTCACCTGTTTGTGTTTGCTTTTCGACTCTGCAGTGTGAAATTTAATTTTCGGCTCAAAATTTAATAAGCCAGCTACCGGATCTAGTCTTTCTTCTACTCTTGCATCCTCATATAGTTTTGTTTTGATCAATTTTAACATCAAAATCTGTAAAACTTTAATTATGAGACTAGATATTTGTGTATAAAAAAAATAAATGCTAGCTGGCTTATGTAAGGTTAACATATATACCCTTTCAGTGGCTATTTAACTCCTTAAATAACTGTGTCTTTGCATAATTTTATAAGATCTACGTAGAGGATGAATTCCCATTTTAATTCTTTATTTATTTTATTTAATTCTTACTTTATTTTGAAGATATAGAACCTATAGATCCTAAAGTTTAAATGGTAAAGTCGGCTGATCTATATGAAAAATCCTAAAAAGACAGATCCCAACTCAATATCCCTGGCTAGTCTCAATATTCTGCTGAAATCTCCGTTGTATTTTCACTTCAAGCTCGACAAACAGAACTATACTTTACCTGCTGCCTTAAATCTGAGTTTCTGACGTGCACAGAAAGGCAACACCCTAGGGCAGAGTGCCACGCCTTGCCTGGCCCCGCCTCTGGCAGTCAACTGGGGCCATGCAACGAGGGATGATATTAATAATCTAGAACTTATTAAATTAATAAAAATATTTTAAATATAAGCTTGTATCAAAATACCATCAACAAATTCAAAGGTTTATTTACCAAAATCCCCATCACAAATGAAAACTTTTAAAACCACCCTCTGTCAACATGAAATATATAACATGGCTAAACTGCTTTGGCGCTGTTTACTGCAGTTTTCAATTAAGTTGCAAATGCCGCTCTGCCACTTCGTGTTTCCCTTGTCCCTCAAATTGAAACTCACCTTGGTTGCAGGCAGCTTCCCTTTTTAATTAGTTGACAAACTTGCACATTTTTATCGCCGTTTGTTCCTTGCTACCGTTACTAACTCTTTGCTGTTTGTCCTGCACCTGAACCACGGCCCCTGCCTCCCTTGGTCTCTTATTAATTTCATTTTGCACTTGTAATTGCCAGTATATATCGCAATACATCGCTCATACGCAGCGTTGCACCGGAAATTAATTTCCTTGCCCTTCTAGTCGAAAAAATAAACAGAAAAGAGTAAGCGAACGAGTTGTTCCTTTTGGCCATGTCATGACCAGAAGGGCTAAATAAAACTGCAGAGATAGGATAGCTATACTTGGAGAAAAAGTATAATTTAAAAATAGTTATTTTTTTAAGAGATATATTTGAAGGTTATTTTATACTTTTTGATAGCTATAGAACCTTAATGGTTTGTAGATTAAATTAAAAAATTATTAAATAATATTCTCTCTCTGTTTTAATTTTAAATCAAAATTGTGTGTTCTTCCCATCTTGATTTGCAGAACGTGCCCGTTTATGAATCCTTTCCCATGGACTTGCGTAACTGGCTGACGGATAGCTTCGGAGTTACTACCACGGATGTCCTTCACAGCTGGAACATCTTTCAGCCAAGGCAGGCCCGGACTAGTACTCGGGCCCAACTAATTTGCACCAACGATGGCCAGTGCTTTGAGGTGAACAAAATCGTCACCGCCTGCTGTCCGTTTTGAGAACTCAATAAATGCATTGAAAACAATTGAAAGGAAGTCATAAATTGGCGGCCCACAGGCACACACTGTCCAGAGTCCAATCGATTGTCAGTTCAGTTCCGGCATTGTCCGCAAAGAGACCATTAAATACCGTTGCTCTTGTGGCCAACTGAACTATTGGTGGCACTGTTGGCCCTGTTAGGGAATCAGGGAATTGGCAAAATGGTGGGGGGGTTGGGGAGAGGGGGAGGTCAGTAATCGAAAACGGAAGCTGCCAACTGCATTGACTCTTGATGGGCTGAGCCCTCTGTTTCAGGCTATTATTTTGGCCAACTTTTTGTGGCAGTTCAGTTACCAAGCAGAGATTAAATGTGATGAGCTGAGAGTGTGGTTATCAGTTTTCAAAGAGTTGGATTTAATGGTAATTAAAAGGAAATTATAACAAAAATTAAACAGAAAACAAGGATAATTATAGGGTTTTACTAAATAATGATAGAGAGTGTGATAGATGATTTTGTCTTTTATTTAGATACTTTTGAAGTGTTAAATGTTTTAGGATACAAAATTTTTATAATATAGTAACTTGTCTTACAGTTATTAAAATTTTCAGGATTTTTTTTTTCAAAATAATGTATTTCCTAGTCATCTATACCCTAAAGCCCATGCCTTTTTGAGCTTTTTATGCGTGTCTGCAATCAGCGACAACGAATATTCCCATGTACCACACGCGTGCCAAGCCAAAAAAAGAAAAAAATGGAAAAGTAAAAGCCCCTTAGCAGCAACAAGAACAAAAGCTGGGGAACACAAGTGTGGCAGCTGCATCAGGAGGAGAAAATCAACATGCAACAGCGAAAACAACAACGACAACAAAAGCCAGCAACAAATGTCAGTTATTTTCATTTTGCTTTTGGCTGTGACTCTATGTCCTTACTTGCCTTTTTGCGTTCTACTCAAATGGTCTACACTAAAAAATATATATATATCATTTAAAATAAATATCCTTTTTATAGGTAAAAAAAAAACAATGGTTTAGGCCTCTATTGCTTCTGTGTTTTTGTGTATAAAATAAATAATCGCGGCGGTAAAAATAGGATAGTAAGTATAGGACATTTATAAAAAATCCTTAAAAATATAAAATGTATATATGGTTATTTAATATAGGTTTTCCAATATATTTTAGTAAAAACAATAAAAAACTAGATCCAATAAGTTGGAAATGCTACAAGCGATGTCTAAAGAAGAGAAGGGATTTTTTCAATATTTGGTATAGTGCTACAGAAGTATTATATGTACACAATTGTATGTAAAATACGACAGTATCAGAGCACATCTAGGATTTTTATTTGAATTTAATTTGCGCATTGAAAAACTAAATACATTATTATTTTACATTTTTAAATACTATGTAAGCTAGATTTGTTCGCTGTCTATATAGTTTTTTTTTCAGGACACTGTCGAGCAATTGTTTCGCTGGTAAACAATGCGATTTTCAGCGTGAAATTTCATTCAATCGGCACTGGGCACAGGCCATGGCCAAAACCCCTTTCCCGCATTCCTCTCCCCTGCCACACCTCTGTTACCAACTCATTCGACGTCCATTGGTGGGTAATTTGTGTGTGTGGCCCCAAAAAAAAAAAATATGTCGAGAGGCCTGTTTGTTGTTAAATTCGCACCATTTTTTGTTTTCAGAGTTTTTTTTCGTTTTTTATTGCAATTTTAGTGAGTGGAATGGTTTTTTTTATTGTTTGAGGATTTTGTGCCATTTTCTGCGAAAAATCGCTTTTAATTGATAAAATTGTTTAAATATACGGCATTCATACATGTGAATATGTGTATTTGCAAGTGGTTTTTTCTCATGTTTCAGTTTTTATCTGAATTTCAATTAAATGCCGTTCAGATAAAAATTTGTTAGTCTCTGAATTGTATGTTGCGGACGTTGTTATCGTTATAATTGCGATTATCTAAATACAAATTGCATTTTATACCTATTTCTAGTTCAGTGCAGCCTTGACTAACAAATGTTTGGAACAATGAATGATTTTAATTATGACATAACTCAGCCAGAATGTTTATCCATAAACACTATATTTGTTTTACCAATAAAGTCTGTACATTAAAAGAAATATTTGTTTATTTTTTTAATTACCTTTCCGGTTACAAATAAATCAAATTTCCCAACCATGCTCTTTTAATTGATCCCCAAACAAATTAAAAATAATAATTTCCAAAAGGCTTCCCGTCAATCTTGTTTCTTTTGAAATAAAATATTATTTTTAAAAACATGCATCAATCGATTATCTGCATCTGAATAAACTTTCATGGCTGCCCTATGGTTGGCTTTATATTTAAAATCCCCTTTCCCCCTTAAAAGTCCTTCGTGAGTCCAAATGAAATGCATAAATAAATGAACAGACAGTTCATAGCCGAAACTGAGTCCGAAGCAATTTACTGAGCTTCATTTAAAAAATTTAATTTTTTGTATCATTGCGCGGCGGCAGGAAAATGTTGGCTTAAAAACGATTTGGACCTGCAGTCCTGCCCCAGCCATGCTCAATTTTATGGCAATCTGTCTGAGTGCCCCAAACCACTTTTTATGCTATATACGATATACTATATATCACATGGCTTACACATAGGTAATGCATGTAAACGATATTGCTTCACTCAACTGTCAGAGGGTATTAAATAATATTTTGCGCCCTCGAACGAAACAGCGGGGACGTGGCATCATCGTGGCCTGTGTGACATTTCTGACTGCAGCCTGCCAGGGAATCCTCGCCAAAAGCAAAAAAAAAAAAACACATCATACCAGCCCATGCAAACTTCACAGAAACTGAAACCGAGACCGACAGACAGTCGGACAGACATAGATGTCATGTGCAGAATTATGTAACGAAGACAGGAGGCAGGGGCTCAGGGTAGGGAGGCCATGTGTTTAATTTTTTAAGCAAACTAAAATTTTCAGCCAACAGCCAACTTTGAGTCCCGACCACATATGACATTATAAATGTGCATAAATCGGTGCAGCTAGGTTGGCATAATGCAGCCTAGACCCAGGTAATTTTTGAGTTCCTTTGGATGAAGATATTTCAATGGATGTGTTTGAGTTACTAATTTAACACAATCACTGAGGACGGCAGTGCACTAATTTAAATGGAGGTGCATACTACCTTTCTTTCAATTATTATTATTTCTCGACATTTATTAGTCGATTTTTCTATCCTTAGACCTTAATAAAAAAGCTGAGGAAAGATTACAGATTACGATAGGCTGTTACGATAGGCTGTTACGATAGGCTGTTACGATAGGCTGTTACGATAGGCTGTATAAATATAAGATGTCGAAAAGTTTTCGTTGAATAAGTAGGCCTTGAAAGTTAAAGTTTGCAAATATTTGCTATATAAGAGGGTTCTGTTCCTTTGAGAGACAGTTACTGCCTGCCTTCAAAGCAGGTAGGACCTCACTTTTTCTTTGTTGCCTTTTTTTATATTTTTATTTTTAATATTTAACCTTTGATTTCATGAGTAATGAGAGAAATCGCGACTGATTTAATGTTGATTTTAATTTAATTGTTTATGAAACCATGTGGAGTACTCTTGCATCTCTTGCGATCGGTACGAGTTGCTTTTCTTATTTAATTTTATTTTATCATTTATTTATTTAAATTTTAATATTGGATTTTTTTAGTTTTATTAATATTTTTATAATTTAAAGACCTACTTTTCTCTTAAACCTTTGAACCTCTTGGGGTAGCTACGAGCTTCTTTTCTTATTTAATTTTAATTTATCATTTATTTATTTACATTCAAATATTGGATTGTAAACTTTTTTAATTTTATGAATATTTTTATATTTTTTTTTCTACTTTTCTCACCTTTTATTCCACTATAGTTTTGCAGAAAGCCATTCACCTTGTTCCATGGAGGAAAAAGCTCTAAGATGTGTAAGGGTCTTATATAATATTTAAACCTAATAATATATAAACCTATGAATAAAGTCAAATATTTATATGACCTCTGATAAAAGCTAGAATTTCAGTTAATATTCCCTACACTTGCCAACCCTCACAGGTGACAACAAACACCGATCCATTAGTTCCAATTCCCATCAGCAATTTGATAGTTGAGTAAATTTGCAAGAAATGCATTGCCAAAGCACTTTGATATGAAATTTGAGAAGTTTGTTAGACTTTGGCCAGCCCTCGGGTCATTTCCTTTGCGCCTTTTATGTTTTTTGGAGCAAAAAAAAAAGTATGAATTGGGGTTTGGGCCTTAGGCTTTCCCAATGGGGGAATTCCATCTGCTGACGACACGAACGTGTCCAAAATGCGGGCTTCTATAATTTGAGGTGAGTTTATTATGCAGATAAACAAAATGGTAGGTAGGTAGGTTGACCCCAACTAGGCCCTTCTCTTTAGCCAGTTTTGCTGACTTGGCTTTGAGTTTTGGCCCGGCTTACACACATGCTCGGATAGATGGATGAAGTCAAGAGCCCTGGGCCATGGTCAACAATTGCCGGCAATCATCTAGGCAGTTACCTTATTACAACAACAATGGCCGGAGAAAACTTGGCCATAACGGGAGTTATCTGACTGTAAATACATAATCTGCTGGCCTGGCCCAATCCCGAACCCGTCGACGTTGCAGCTTTTTGGGTGTTCTGCTGCTCCAGAGAGTTCCCAAAAGACTTCAGCCGGCTTGTGCACCTTGAATACGGATTTACTTTTATTGCCACAGCTTCCAGGCCGCTCACTTCTCACTCTGTCTCGGCCATCCCTATGCCACCCTATTTTTTGTTGCTTTTGTCGGTTGTTAGTGGGTTCCGCATTTAGGGTTAAGCAGGTGCTTTATAAACCAAGCATCCAGAGGGGCGGCCTCTGACGGTAAATAAGGACAAATACCACGTAATGGGCAACCTTTGCGTGGTCGCTCTGAAGCCCCATCGAGAAAAACTAGTTAGGGGCAGGCTGGCATCCTTTTCTGCTCCCTAAAAAAGGGTGTGAGCCGTTGGAGGCTGTAAAA